TCTTGAGAGTCAGAATGGAATCGCTTATTGAAATAAGAACCGATACCCAGCCCTAATGCACAGAGCAAATTGTAAGGCAGTATTTCTGTATTTTGCAAAGCAAAACATATTCTGGACCATAAACCTCTCCATACTCTCTACTGCTCACTGATTCTGTGATATTACTTTGGAAATGTTTACAACCTATATAACCACTATTCATACTTAAGAGAAGAGCCAGAGGAAAGAATCCTAATTTTGGTTACAATGAATGCATATGTTCATTATTCCGAAATTGAAAAAAGAATTCAAATTTACATGCGGTCTCAATTTTCATTTAGCTCAATTTGTGTATAAACAGATACACAATTGACTTCCATTAAATATTTAGACTTTTTTTTTTTAGTTTGGAGGTATAATTTCAAAGGGGATGTTTATCTTTAAACATCAGTACATCGAAAGGTTTGTGTGTCTCTGTCTTTGCAGAGAAGTTGTGTACAGAGTTTAAGCAATGTCCAAGCATGGCACAGTTTAAAAATCAATACAAACAAATGATTCTCACAATGTACCGGAATAAAGAAGGGCTGTGATAATTGTGTGTTTTTCTAAATGATTTAAGTTTGTTTTTTTTATTTAATCTACTTATTTATAGTAATTTCTCTTATCTGATTGTGGTAATAAATGTTTGGAAATATACCAGAGAAGGGGTAGGTTTAAAGCAAGCTATGTGTTGACATTATCCTATTAAATGATTTTAATTTTCACACTAAAATATTTAAAATCCCAACAAAACACTGTTTGACTTTGTTAAATAGAAGAAGATAAGAAACCTACATTTATACTCCCACAGTGTAAATTCTGTCCTGTGTCCCATTCATCAGGCTGCAGTGTGCTGCCACCATGAGACACACAAAGAGAGCATTTAACGGGTTAAGGGTCTTCAGGAGCACAAGGAAGAGTCTGAGGTTCAAACCTTGTAACCTCTTCAGGGCACCAACGCTCTGATCTATAACCATTAGACTACCACTTCACCTCACGTGCTATTCAGCAGACATGGCCCATTAATGGGTAACAAAAGTTATTAAAAGTTCAAAAATCTTAACTGATACTGATGCAAACAGCCAACTTGTTGCTGTGCACTACTTGTCAACTTGTTCAAAATCAATCCTCTTTACTTAAAGGAAAAACTAAATAGTTTTAAGCCCAGACAAAAACAATGTAGGAACTAAAGAAGCCCAATCTCCATTAACTCTCTCGTTAAGGAAACAGTTTTTAAATCTTAAGTTAATAAAGTATAAGGAGCTGATCACAGCTTTTACCTGAAAAGATAACCCGATTATTTAAGCAGCAAATATCAGCAAGTTTGGCATGAGATACTCTGTAAAGAGCAAAGCAACAAAAAGGATGATAACTCTGAGCACTGATCTGATAGAAACCTTTAACTTTTCAATATGCTTTACCGTCGTTGAATATAGAACATTTTCAATTATTAAAAACATGTTCAACAAGGTCACTAAAAAAAATATGCATCTAGATCATCAATGTCTAAGAATGTTTAAATATGTTTAATCTTTAAAAAAAAAAATATTTTTAAGATTCAAGTTGTGAAAAAGGGGAATAATTAAGTCATATTGTTCTTGATATTTTGACAAATTGCAAAACTTCTACCTGCAACATTTAAATTATTTCAGTGTTATACACTAAAAAAAGTGAGTTGTTATTGTTGGGATCCAAGGTTTGCCCTCCAGAGGGCGGTGTGGATCCCATTCTGTAGCTTCTGTTTCTGTTTGGATCCCTTCCTGTGAGCTTCTTTTCCTGTTGGGATCCAGAGGTTGCCCACCAGAGGGCGATGTGGATCCTTCTCCTGGGAGCTGGTTCTCAGCGCACAGCTGTTTCCCATCAGCTCTGCTCATTAACCTCTCCCCATATAAGCTGTGTCACAGCTTCACTCTGAGCCGGATCGTAGCATGTGTTACCCACAGCCATAGCCCTCAAGCCTTGTGTTTCCTAGCCATGTTAGCCATGTTTTGCCACGCCTTGCCATGTCCGTTCCCTGTGCTACTCTGCCTGTCTGAACCAGCGAACCCGTGAGTCTTCAGTTTAGTTTTTGATCCCTGAGTTTAACCTTTTTCTGTCCTCTCTGCCTTCCAGGGCAGGTAACCTGTGTTCCCAATAAATATTGAACTTTGATCCTGCCTCTGAGTCTGTGGAGTTCTGCATCCTTGGGCTAGCAACCAACCACGTATCATGACAGAACGATCCGGCCAACAGACTAGCCCAGCAGACTCCCAGCACGCTCACCTGGTGAGGCCCGCCCAGCGCCGTCCGCTACCTCCCGGGTGGGAGGCGCTTCGTCGTCACTATGATGAGCTGGTGGCTGCCTTTGCCCCTGAGTTAGCCCCTGAGTTAGCCCCGAGCCGTCTAGAGACCCCTAAGCCTGCTCGGATTCTTCCGCCAGCATCAGTCCGGTGGGAGGAGGTGATCCGGAAACGGGAGATGGAGCGGCGCCGACGTAAAGAGGAGTTGGATCGCCAATGGGAAATGTGGTGTCGCCAACGTGATGAGGAGCGGGATCGCTGGAATCGGGAGTATATGAGTAATCTGGAGACCCTTTGGCGTTCTATGCGCTGTTCGCCGCCTCCTCCGGAACCACAATCGGTGGTCACCTCTCCTCCTGAGGCGGAGCCGCAATGGGCGGCTTCTTCTGTTCCTGACCGGGAGCCGCAATGGGCGGCTTCTTCTGTTCCTGACCGGGAGCCGCGGTGGGCGGCCTCCCCTGTTCCTGACCGGGAGCCGCAACCAGCGGGCTCCCCTGTTCCTGATGTGAAGCCGCAATGGGCGGCCTCTTCTGTTCCTGATCCGGAGCCGCAATCTGCAGCCTCCTGGGTTCCTGTGGAGCCACAGTCGCTGGTCTCCCCTGCTCCAGGGGTGGAGCTGCAGTCGGCGGCTTCCCCTGAGCCTCCTCCTGAGCTGCAGTCGACGCTTTCCTCTGAGCCTTCCCCTGAGCCACAGTCGTCGGTTGCTGCTGAGCCTGTTGCTGTGTCGCAGCAGCTGAGACGGCGTTCTCCTCGCTGCTCCCCGCAGAAGCCGAGACGGCGTCCTCCTCGACGCTTCCCGCAGCGGCTGAGACGGCGTTCACCTCGACTCTCCCCGCAGCAGCTGAGACGGCGTTCTCCTCGTTGCTCCCCGCAGAGGCAGAGACGGCGTCCTCCTCGACGCTTCCCGCAGCGGCTGAGACGGCGTTCACCTCGACGCTCCCCGCAGCAGCTGAGACGGTGTTCTCCTCGTTGCTCCCCGCAGAGGCAGAGACGGCGTCCAACTTGGAGTTTCCTACAGCAGCAGAAACAGCGTCCTCCTCCGCGCTTCCTGCTGCAGCAGAGAAGGCGCCCTCCTCCATGGCCCCTGCAGCTTCTGAGACGCCGGTCACACGGCCGGCCACCTGAGACTCAGTCCTGCTGCCGGTCACACGGTCGGCCACCTGAGACTCTGTCCTGCTGCCGGCCCCACGGCCGGCCACCAGAGACTAAGCCTTGCTACCCGGCCCCACGGCCGGTCCCCTGAGACTTTCCTGTCCTCGCCCACCCCGGGTGGGTTGTTTTGATTTTTGGACTCTGTTCTGTTTTCGTGTCTGGCCCCCCGTGCCTGTTTCCCCCTCTGCTCGCCCGAGGAGGGTTGTTTTGTTTTCTGGTTTTTGTTTTTGGGCGTCTGGTATCCGCCCTTGAGGGGGGGGTACTGTTGGGATCCAAGGTTTGCCCTCCAGAGGGCGGTGTGGATCCCATTCTGTAGCTTCTGTTTCTGTTTGGATCCCTTCCTGTGAGCTTCTTTTCCTGTTGGGATCCAGAGGTTGCCCACCAGAGGGCGATGTGGATCCTTCTCCTGGGAGCTGGTTCTCAGCGCACAGCTGTTTCCCATCAGCTCTGCTCATTAACCTCTCCCCATATAAGCTGTGTCACAGCTTCACTCTGAGCCGGATCGTAGCATGTGTTACCCACAGCCATAGCCCTCAAGCCTTGTGTTTCCTAGCCATGTTAGCCATGTTTTGCCACGCCTTGCCATGTCCGTTCCCTGTGCTACTCTGCCTGTCTGAACCAGCGAACCCCTGAGTCTTCAGTTTAGTTTTTGATCCCTGAGTTTAACCTTTTTCTGTCCTCTCTGCCTTCCAGGGCAGGTAACCTGTGTTCCCAATAAATATTGAACTTTGATCCTGCCTCTGCGTCTGTGGAGTTCTGCATCCTTGGGCTAGCAACCAACCACGTATCATGACAGTTATAGTCCTAAAAACACCAGACTGCTGCAGATATTTCTGCAGTAAGTTGTTAAAAATCCTTGTGATCAATGAGTCTAGATCCCATCCATTGAACTTGTTTTTTATCTTACATGATGACAGATCTTTCAGAGATGGATTCAATGCAAATTTTACTCAATTTGTATTGTTGCAACACTAAATTAAAGAAACATTTAATGAAGCAAGCACTAAAATGGATGGGGACGCCCCTGTATATAAAACAAATGTGCATGCACAAATGAGACATTTTTATTTAACCATTTGCAGACTGAAAAGATTGCAAACTGGTTTTAAAAATCTGCTCTACATCTGGACTGACTTTAGCTGCTTGGGACAAATCACTGTGCAGCTCCGCTCAGTCTCCTCTGAGGTTGTCTCACTTTTTGATCTCCTTCTGAAAGCCTCTCCAGCTGTAAATATCATCTGCATATTTCTGCTCCAAATACATTCCAACGCTTGAAGAACTGCACGTCACTGAGCACAACTTTGTGTTTTAACCGCATCACCTCTGACAGCTTAACAGAGTCTATGTCATCCAGACGAGATTCTGGTAAACTTGCAGAAGTTGGACTTAACCACATTGTTTTTAAATACACATCTCCAGTACCTGCAGGCTTGCATACTGTCACAGGCAGGCAACTTGTCACGGCCTGCCTTTAAAAGTAAAACCATTACTACTTTAAAATATTTTATTACTAATACTTATTACTAATCATATGCATTTCTGAGTACTTACCATGATGCATAAAACTGAACCGGCTCAGATCTCTTTATATATATATATATATATATTCATATATATAAATATATATTTATATAAATATATATATATATATATATATATATATATATATATATATATGTCTGTGTGTGTATATATATATTCCAGACGCACAGATTGTGCACTTGAAAATTCCCCTTGTTGAAGACAAAAGCTCCAGTGGTGTCTCTGCGCTGTCAGTGGCTCGGCGCTCCGGCTGGCGGAGTCAGACTGAACTGACCGGGCAGTCTGCGGTCAATCGACGCTCCTGATGGAAACACTGCGACCCGCTGTTTGGCGTCTGAACCCAGCAGCAACAGCAGCAGCAGCGGCGGCGGCAGCAGCGACCGCGGCAGGAGATCCCGGGGCTCTCTGAGCGCTCCGCTGATAAGCCACCGGAACTACTTCCAACGCCAGCCGGAGCACATTGAAGATGAATTCATGCACCACAGCAGAGGGAAAAGAGAAATTCACATTCATTTAACTAGTTCCCTGCTCAGATATTAATGAGGTTTTGCAGGAAATTAATGCAAAATCTCCAACCACGATTGTTTGCACTATGACATATATTTATATATAAAATGCTTTATTATAATAATCATGTTTATTTTTTATCATAAGAAACGCTTTGTGCGACTTGCATCTTTAAAGAAAACAACTAAAAGCGCTCAGTTATCAGAGATGTGCTTTAAACAAAGAAATATGTGATTAATCATACTAGTGACGTAGTCTTTGGATGGCACAGGCAAGTTTGCCCCATATAAGCTATAGTTACATTCATATATGCTGGCTTTTAGGTACATTAACGTTATTTTCTAGCTTGATTTTTACTTTAAATTTGATCATTAAATGCAGAGAGGAGGCTGAGATGAAGTAACAGCGCCACCAAGTGGAGAGTACAGCATTAGTAGGTGACTTTTTAATGCTGCACCTTTTTTGGACTGCAATTGAGGCCAATTAAAATGTTATTGCTCAGATTTGAACACATTATATTAGATAACTAACATTTCATTGTTCACAAAAGAGAAAACGTTCTCCCGACCAGACATAGTATAAAATATATTAATGCACCTATAATGTGATTTTTGTTTGATGGTCTTGTTGGTGTTTCCTTGGTTCTGATGACAGTTTAATAGATACACCAGTTAATTATAAAATGTTTAACAGCTTAGATACAGAAGAATACCATAGATATATCTCATCATTTTAAGGGCAGTGGTGATCTGTTAAAATATTCCGTTGTCTTTCTTGCTTTTTCGGCGAAAAGTTGAGACCCAGCTTTTTTTGCTTTTTGCCCACTATTTTAACTTTCATTGAATTAATTCACAGAAACTTGTTTTTGGTGTACAGCTCAGGCCACATTATACAGAGAGATAAAAAGTTAAAACATCCTCAGCAACCACAGCACCTTTCACTGTCGAAATTGCATAACAAGCCCAACACATCTCTATGTGTTAAGAGAATTTAGTGAAATGTTTGACCTGACTTTTTACTGAGTCTATTGAAATACTTAAAATGTCATTAAGATTATTTAAGCTTATTGTCGAGGAGAAAAATCTGATTGACTCAGTTATTATCATAAAGATAAGCTGTATCCAGTGCCATACTTTTGTTCACCCTATGTGAATAAATCTAGGTAACAGGAATTGTAAACATGTTCTGATAAAGTTTCAACTTATATTTAATTTAGCTATTTTTACTATGTTTTCTTTTGTAAACTAGCCTCACTGTCAAAGAAGCTGCCCTGGTTTGATTTGTCAGCTGATTAATAGGAATGCAAAAGGATTACTACTGTATCATTTTGCTGAAGTGCCTTTTAATTGAATTTTCGCCCTTGTTAGGAGTTTGTATTGTACATTGCAAATTTACAATATTTTTAATGATCTGCTAAATAAAAGTCCTTCAGAGCTTCAAAATTTTGCAGATATTTCTTCTCTGTCTCCTTTGGGCCATTCCATGTCTGCTCTCTTTAATGAAGTCAGACAGAAATCCAGCTGGTTGATCTAATCATATGTTCTTTGAATTCATTGAATTAGGTTACAACCAATGTAGCCCACAAATGTAAATAAATCATACCATGGGTTTATTAAGGTATGTGAAATTTTAAAAAAAAAAAGTGAAAGAGAGGAAAAGATATTTACCATGCTTTCCTCAAATGTAAGACTTTGAACTGAAAACCTGTGATGACAGCTTCCAGATGCTTCCTTTATGCTAAAACAACTGCAACACTCAGGTGTGATTGCAGTCAGTTCATCTAAATAAACAGTTTTTAAATCTTGTAGACTTAGTGGGCCGTTCTTTGAATTCCAAGCTTTCTTTGCTTTCATTTTTTTTCTATCATATTCATGTTAGATGACTGACACTAAAATGTATCTTCTTTAAACTTCCTTTAAACATATTTTGTATCATGGCATACAAAGAATTTGATTTTGATCTCATCTGACCAGATTACATTTTGCTGGTATTTATAGGCATGTCTAAATGTCTAAATATAGTTCAGCAAATTTTAACACATTAAAATAGCTCTTTGTTCTGCAGTTTTTAATAAAGAAAGAGTAAATTCCAGGTCTTTCTAAAATTTCTTCACGGATGGTCTCGACAACTTCTCTAAAAATGTATCTTTTAAACTATTCAGCTTTATACATCTTACAAAAACTTCAGTTCTATCCAAAAAAAGTAACCCCGTAGCATTATTCAGCCACCAACATGTTTTAACATCTGTAGGTTGTTTGTCTGATGTGTGCAGGGGTATTTTGTATACACACAAAGTTTCATGCTTTGTTTTATTGTCACACATTCTCAAACAAGGTCCTGAAAAACTGTATGTAGGACTGGATGCTTTTCTAAGAAAATAAATCTTTCTTGCAACCAAATTCCAGACATATACAGCAAACTGTTACTGTATGCCGAACACAAGCAGTATTGAATATTAACCTCTGCTTGTACTTTTTTTTTTTTTTTTTTTTTTTTTACCTCTGGACCGCTTATTTTAACAGTAACTGTCTTTGCAAAAGGTCCTTGGTTCAAATCCCAAGTGATTGTTTCTGTATGGAGGTTCCTTGGATTATCTGTGGGTACTCTGGCTTCCTCCCAGAGTGAGATGGGATGTCAATCTTTTAATTGTCTTTAATTGTACTTACAGTGTTGTTTTCTACCTCTGTGATATGTTCTTTTTTGTGCTTAGTTGCCTGCCCTTGACTAAGAACACTTTAATCCATAGTAAGGTCTCTACAAACAAAGACTTTAGCTAAAGATGGAAATGTCAGAAACTAATCCAACTGAAACAGCTAAACTTTAATTTTCTTTAAGTGATGGTAGGCATGAACAGAGGTGGGTAGAGTACCCAATAATATTACTCAAGTAAAAGTAGCACTACTTTAACATTATTTACTCAAGTAACAGTAAAAAGAAAAGTACTAGTAGAAAGGCTACTTGAGTATACTGTTGGATAATAACATCAGATTTAATGTTCGTAAATGATGCAGGCAAAAAAAACGTTAGGCAAGTTCTGGTATTTTAAAATCTTGAATGCCAAAATGATACAAATAAATGTCATTAATTTAAAAAGATAAATTACTGCAGAAGAAATACTTTTACAATATTTTTCAACATAAAACTTAATAAACCAATCCTTAGACACAGAACTGTGTATATATTAAGATAAGGCAACTAACTTCCACTGTAAATATCTACTGTTTACTGTATGTCCGTAAAAGTTTAAAAAACAATGCACTGGACTTGGTTTCCAAGGTTTGAAGACGTTTCGCTTCCCCTCCAGGAAGCTTTCTCAATTCAAAAGTCTGGATGAGTGAGTTTGAGTCTTTATATAGACAAGGCCTTGTCTATATAAAGACTCAAACTCACTGCGGATCCAGTGGATTGTTTTTTAAACTTTTACGGAACGACTATGACCTCTGACTGAGAATCTTCATCAGCATGTTTACTGTATGTTTAGCTGATTTTGGAATAGTTCAAATTACTCAGAGTAGTCAGAAATTTCACTAAAATAGGTGTTTACAAGAACATTACTCAAGTAAAAGTAAGAAGCAGAGTAAATGTAACTAATTAGGCTGCTACTCACCTCTGGGTGTGAATACAGAAAAACGAATGCCAAGCAGCGGACAATTTATAAAAGATTATGGCAGTTCTTTTGTTTCTTGCATTTGTTTTCCAGAAAGATGTTTTTCAGTTAAAAACTTAAAAAGAATTGGAAAATTTAAATTATTTTTTGTTTTTTCAGAGCCACTGGAAGAAAAAGGGAAAATAAAAATGCTGCTTTCTTTCAGCCAGAATTATTCCTGACTCACTGCATCAGGCTCATGCTGATTATTATAATGATCCAACTGTTAAGATCCTTAACTGTTTAATTAGGAAAATGTTTACAAATAAGATATTGATATGCATTGTGCTTTTTCCGTTAATGGGACTGCTATATGACTGAATACAAGGTACAATGAAAAAGAAAACACATTTTAATTTAAGCAATGTGTGGTCATTAGTCACGATGAGGTTTGTTAAGACTTTAATACACAGGTTTAAGACATTTGTTTTGGGTATACATTTTTAAAATTGATCTATTAACACTTGGGGAGTGGGTAACAATTTAAACTTGCAATTTTCTCCAAGGATTATTGTAATTGTGTCTCATAAAAAGCGTAGTGCTGCCCTCATCTGGTGCTAAAATATATCCACAGGAGCTGAAAATCTTGCATTATAGTAAAGAGGGAGAAAAATGCCGACAGGGTGTTCAGAATATTTTACAACAATACTTTTGGGGTATATAGCATGCGTTTGTATTCAACTCTATGTCAATTAAATACAAATCTGGTAACCAGTTGACTTCAATGTTGCCTAGTTAAGAACAGTACACCAGGGTGCAAATTAAACCAACAGCTTCCTAGTTAGTAAGGTGCATTTGTTGTCCTAGTTTCTCCAAAGCACCGTGTGAATGGAAATTATTACAGTGCATCAAAGTGAATAAGATAAAACATAATGGAGATGGCATCCTGGTTTAAGGATGTTTTTCTTTGGCAACAGGTAAGTTTGTCAGAGATTTAAAGCAATTCACCCTTATTAAATTTCTATTTGTAAAAAAAACTTTTAGGCTGAGTATTATTTTCCTTTTACTTCACAATTATGTATTGTGTTGTTTATCCTTTATTTTAGTTCCAAATTACTTTTAAAATGATGATTCTCACTAAGATGCAAAGCATTGTAGCATAATTGTAAGAAAAAAGGTCTATACCAATAAGTTTATTTTAATAATTGAACTGTAATTTTCACATTTCTGTTCATTTCTATGATGTGATGCAGATTAAATGACTTAATTCCCTATAATGAGTAAATATGTGGGCAGGATTCCTGCTCAACTCCATCAGGCCCTCCCTTCTCAGCCATGATTCTGTTTTCCAGCAGGGCAGTGAAACCACAGCCTCTCAAACTGAAACACTAATCATGATAAAGAGCAGGCAGCTCCTTGTGGATGTATGCATTTGCTTAAAGCATGTTCCCCATTAGGAGCCAGTGGTCTTTCCAGTGCTTAGCTCACTCTATCATAGAAGCAATATAATAGAAAGTAAAGCTGTTAATTATATATAAGGTGTCTTGCAAATCTCAACATTTTATCTAGTTAAAACAAAAAACTTCTATCTATCTATCTATCTATCTATCTATCTATCTATCTATCTATCTATCTAAAAAATAGATAGATAGATAGATAGATAGATAGATAGATAGATAGATAGATAGATAGATAGATAGATAGATAGATAGATAGATAGATAGATAGATAGATAGATAGATAGATAGATAGATAGATAGATAGGAAATGTAATGTTTCTATCTACCACTAGAGGTCTCTCTAACCAAGGGCATTTAACAATCTGTTGCCATAGTAGCCTATTGCACTAAAAATTAACATTCCTATCATTTACTATGGACAAAAAAAATAGGAGAATGCGGAAACACCTTTTCACCACCAAAGAAACCTGGATAAAAATGGTGCATTTCTATATGTTTCATATTAGTTTATGTGTATATATTGCAAATTTATAAAAGCTGTGCTAAGTCAGACCCATTGTTTTATGCTCACAATCATGGCCATCAAAGATGATTCTGACATCTAGTAGTTATTTCTGAAGAAATACTGATTTATGGGGTTGTTTTATACAGCAACGTGTCATGATACTAGAGCCAGGGGAGTTAACAGGTGCAGGAACCACATCAGCGTCAAGCAAGGTGACATCATTCCTGGAGGACGAGCTTCGCTTCAAACAGTTGTTGTGAAATATTGCCTCATAAACCCTAATTTGTTTATATTCTGAATCTGGCAAAGCATGGGAAGAACAGTAGGATGATTTTAAAAGTCAGAAATATGCTCCTCTGGGGGAGGGAGTTAAAAGACGCATGTTCTCTCTCACATTTTATACTAGTTGGTGTTTGGTCAGAGGCGGTTCAGCCCGGTTTGATCCTGCTGAGACTCCGGAGCTGCAACGTGTAGCTGAGAGTGTAGTTGACTATAGAGAAACGTGTTTTTAAGCTGGACATTTTACATCTGGTTGATTTTATTTTTCTAAAAAAAAAAAAACAACCCCATTTGGAACAATTAAATTGATTTTAAAACAAGGCGTTTGTAGAGCCAGAAAAAGGGAAATACGATTATGAAATAATACCGCAGCAGCCACGAGTGAATACCCCGATGCTGACTTGTATGTTTTGCAATTTACCTCATATCAAAGTATATTATTGTGCTTAAACTTAAGGTTAAATGTTTTTATGTGTTTAATGTGTGATTAATTTATTTTTTTCTGGTCACGATGATGGATGAGGAGGAGTGATCTAATCTCGCGAGACGTGGCTGCAGCAGCGTGAATTTGCAGAGTTGAATGAATAAACCTAGATCAGAACAAAAGATGCTGCTTCTAGAGACAGCTAATTAAGTCAATTTATTAGATTTATGTTAAAATGAGGATGCCCTGTCATTTTTTAAACCAAGAAGTGGGCTAAGCACATTTTAACATTAAAAGAAGGGATCCAGTTTGAAATATTTGACATGATGTATCATATAGCCCCAAGTTACAATAGCTTTTGTTTTTTTGTTGAAATGTGTGTCCTATTTTGATGATCTGCGAATTTTTATTTTTTTTATTTATACATTGTACAAATGTCAAACAGAAAGAGTAGCAACTTGATTACCCATCACTGTTTCAGAACCAATTCATGGATGGAAAAAAACTGTAATTTTTGGGGGACATTACCAAAAGGATAAGGAAATAACTGCACCCCAGTTTCAAGGTGACAGATTATTACTCAACGTAAAAAACATGAAGGACATCTTTTAAGAAAAAGACCTAAAAAGCTAAAATATATGCTATTTGACAGTCATCTTCGGATAAACTTTTTCTCCACTCCACTGCTCATCAACAGCTCAGCTGTAGAGGTGGTCATTCCTGGGGGTGCACATCACAGACACCCTCACCTGGTTTATGAATGCCACCCCACTGGTTAGGAGGTGACAGAAGTGCTTCTACTTCCTGCGGAAGATGAGGAGAGCTCACTTACCCACATTCATCCTCATGACCTTCTACAGAAGCCCAATAGAGAGCGTTCTGACCAGTTGTCTCACTGTATGCTGTGGAGGCTGCAATGCCTCAGACTGGAAGAACATGAGAAGGCTGGTGAGAACGGCAGAGAGGATCATCAGGGCGCCACCCCCTCCAGTAAAGATATTTCATCCCAGTGCTGCGTGTCCCGAGCCCGTAACATCATCCCCCTCACACCCCCACCATAGACTGTTCTCGCTGCTGCCCTCTGGGAAGAGACTTCGCAGCATTCGATGTGCGTCCAGCTGGTTCTGTAATAGCTTTTTCCCCACTGCCATCAGACTGTTGAAAAAAAACAAAGCGAGACTCTGCATCAAACTGATAACATCATACCAAATAGAACCTGCATTTTTGTACAATATATATTTGTTTTTGCACTCCTCTGAACTACCACATTCCACGCCTTTTGCACAATCTTTCTCTCCTACATTGTTTACATTTTGATCACTGCTGCACTTTATGAACTGGAAGTGTTTCTTTTCACTGCTAAACTGCTGCTCATTCACCATCTGAAAGCTTTATACAACAAAAATTTCATTTTATAAACACTCTGTGTATACAAAATGACAATAAAGTTGTCTAAGTCCAAGTAATATTTTAGAAGGCTTTTTGTTATTAGGTAAGGTAAGTCTTAGATTTATGTTTATAGTAGCTTGATAAAAGTTTTGGGGGGAAGCAAGGATTATATTTTTACAATGTTTACTACATTTCTTTGAATAGGATTTAACATCCTGTCTCCATCAAAGCTCCAAGGTTAAAACAAACCCAAAAAAAGTCAGAATGACTCTTAAAGATTTACAGAATGGTGCCATAAACAAGTTCCATCAGGCACCCAGTAGCCTATTTACTCAAGGGTCATCAGTGGTTATCATCAGTGGAGTTTTTATGACTCCTCAGATAAGGGCCGGTTTGTTTGCATTAAGAAATCATATTTCGAAATGGCAAAAGAACATTTTTAACAAAAAAGAAATGAAAAGGTGTTTGTTTTGTTTGTTTTTTTGCAAAAGTATCACTTTTAATATTTTTATATTAAATATATATATATCTTGTTTCCTATCAAACAAACAGTTTTAGTGAATGAAATAATTAAACAAAATCTAAATCATCAATAGATATGATATATACCCTCTGCAGACTATGCTCTTTGAGTAAGTTAAATGTTATCTATAGGTTTGTTCAGTTGCTAACCAAAGCAAATGGTTTAGTTAAAGGGTGTGCAAACAGGTTTGTGTAGCTTTATATTTTGTTGTGAATTGGCACTACTTAAAAAACTCGAATTGCTTCCAATAAATCCTGTGTAGAAAAATGGTATAATTGCTGAGTTCAAATATATTTTTAGATATGTCTTCCCTTAAAGAGCGTGTCTACCCCATACTTGCTCTCGCCACTAGCAGAAAGAAAGTAGTTGTTCTGCACATAAAGAAGGGTGGGAGGATAATTTCTCCCAACCGACACAGCTGTCCCTAGATGGCGTTGGTAAACAATAGCCATCATCAAATGATGTGTTATAATTCAAATAAACCATCATTTATCGATCGATAATATTAGAAAAAGACTTAAAGTTGTGGTTTCTTTGGCATGTATTGACTTTTATTCATTTCCTATGCCTGAGGGGGAGACCACGCTGTTTTTTTCACCAAAAAGCTCTCAGCAGGGCTGGTCTGAACCGGTTCGGAGAATGCGCGCTCTCGTTCACCCTGCAGACGTCTCGCTGCATTCCGCTCGCGCCACCAACTGCTTCGACCCCTCCCTTTCTGCCCGTTACGTTTTCTCTTTCCTCATTGGTTGAAAGGATGCACGGGTACCCGCCTTTTCCGCTTGCTGCGTAGACACCGACGTTATACACGAGTCGTGATTGGTCATCTGCCATCCGAGCCTTTTGTTTTGGGGAAGGGCACGAGACCTGGAGGAGCGGAGTTGTAAACTAAAGCGCGTGCATGTTTCAGCACCAATACCGCGTGGATAGCAGCCAAACGGACGGAGCAGATAGACACAGTTGTTAGGTCGGTTAGCTTGTTTATGTCGTGCGGTTTTTGATAGTCGCTGTTGTTAAATTGACGAAAGATAAACTTTTTTAGCAGCGGCTGTGGCTCCTCAGGCGGCGAGGCTTTAGCTTTGTTTGCCTCGGCGGCAAAAAAGCTGCGTCTCGATTGAAAAGGAAGTATAAAAATCCAAATTTTCTTCAACATTATTTCGAATTAGCTTTTATTTGTAGGGGTTCGACGAAGACCAGATGGCTGCAAGCTACGGAAAACAAAGGTGATTTTTTAAAACACTTTTCACCCCAGCCGGTTCGGTCCAGCCAGCGGTTGAGCAAGTGGTGTTTTTAAGCCACATTCCAGCCCGCTCCCACCGCTTTGCCTCTATTGTGAGAGCATCTCTGCCGCCCGTGATCCCGCGCTCACACCTGCCTCCCACCCCCCTCTCCACTCCACTCCACGGCTGTGTTTTTCGGCTGCTTCGTTGATTCACTCCACATTCCAAATGATGTGTTCTCGGGTTTGGTTCGTGACCGACCGGCGGATCAGCCAGGAGTACCCCCAGGTCCAGATCCTCCGGGCTCTGAAGGAGCGCTGCGCCGACGAGGACGTTGAATTCCGCTACCTTCTCATGGATCAGATCGTGCTGACGATCAGCGAAGGCCAGCTAGGCAAGTATCACTCAATGTGTCGTGTCTAATTATGTTCATTATGTATTTAAATTAGGACATGTAATGAAATAAAGCTCAAAGAAGGGAGTTATTGTTTCGATCAGTCCGGTGCCACGCAGGGCTTGCCTGGTCTGCGCAGCAATGACCGCCTAACCCACTTTCCTGCTGGATTGTCTGCTGACCGAGGAGGAGATCACGCCTGACTGAAATTCTGCTGATTATGCCGCTTTCCACGCAAATATGAGCTCTTGGGGGAATGCTCTTTTGAATGATAAAGAAATATGACACTATCCAAGGAAATCCAAATTTTGCATCACAGTTTGGATTTTGCATTTTTTAGTTTTTCATAACTAAAAGAAAATCATTTGTCATGCACTGTAAGAAGCTAATGCATGTTGCAGTCAGCATCAGAGGCGTAGCCAGAAATTTTTTTAGAAGGGTGCCCAGGCAATAACCAATGTACACTGAAGGGTGGCTGAAAGCGGATTGGCACCAGAACCTCAGGGTCAATCTATACTGATCCAACAGGAAAATGAACAACCACAACAACCATATTTTCCAAATAAAAACAAGGTATACTTTCCTACAGCCTTTACTAACGAATAGATATATATTTAAACATCCATCTAGATAAAAGGTATAGTGGATGAAGTTCTTTCAGGTTTGAGTTCTGGGTCGAACATCTTTTTCATTGTCATTACTTACCTACTTATATCAATAATCATTCTGCATAAAATTTATATTTACAAGTACTAATATCTACCAAAAAAAAATTAGTTTACTAAGTTTTGGTTAGAGTAGTTATTTATCTATGATTTAAAGGAGAATTCCGGTTTTTAACACTTTTAGCCCATTTTCTGTAGTGTCCAGGATGAAATCGAATGATCGACACCAAAATTTTGACAATTGGTCCTGTCTCTGCTTTTTGGCTCATTTAGAATCCACCCCTGGCTGCTTCAGAACGGCTTCCATAGTGCATGTCCGATAATGTCCTTAAAACAACCTTAAACGTTCTTTTTTTAAAATATGCTACTCACCGGGTCGTCAGCGCTGTTCAATGACGTTCCAAAAAAAGTTTCGTAAAGAAAAAACGTTCCTGTAGTGTTTTATTTAGCATTTTGTAAATCCCATTGAGTTCTGTTGGAATAGTCAATATTCCCCTGCCACCGGAAACGGAAATGGGGCCTGTTTACACAGTTGTAGTCTTTTCGCTTCACTGTGTGTACTCCGACGTCGAGGTGCTAACGTCTCTGTTAAACACTTTAAAAAACTCTGAAAATGGAATACGAAAGGTGGATTCTTGATTCTCGACGTCGGAGTACACAGAGTGAAGCGAAAAGACTACAACTGTGTAAACAGGCTCCATTTCCGTTTCCGGTGGCAGGGGAATATTGACTATTCCAACAGAACTCAATGGGATTTACAAAATGCTAAATAAAACACTACAGGAACGTTTTTTCTTTACGAAACTTTTTGTGGAACGTCATTGAACAGAGCTGACGACCCGGTGAGTAGCATATTTTAAAAAAATAACGTTTAAGGTTGTTTTAAGGACATTATCGGACATGCACTATGGAAGCCGTTCTGAAGCAGCCAGGGGTGGATTCTAAATGAGCCAAAAAGCAGAGACAGGACCAATTGTCAAAATTTTGGTGTCGATCATTCGATTTCATCCTGGACACTACAGAAAATGGGCTAAAAGTGTTAAAAACCGGAATTCTCTTTTAACTGAAGACTGACTATAATCTATGAAAAGTTAACATGTTTGGAAAATTGAGAGTATTACTGTAGAATCACTTGAGCGTATTACTCCTGCCACTGTCAGTATTATGAGGACAAGAATGGTAAGGGTGACCCCCCCCCCCCACCCAGCTCCGCCCCTGCGAAGCATCACCTTAATCTGCTACCTTTGGTGGGTTTCTGCTTATAATTCATTAGTTTATATAGATTTCTACTTATTTTCAAGAGGAAACAGATCCATTAAACACTATATAAAAACAATCCAGTCATATACAGATTCAATGAATTTTGATCCTAGTCATGACATTTTGAAAATAACTTATTAATGTAGTTTATTGCTGACTGGTATGTCTGTCTTGCCTTGAGGAATCAATCCCTCTCAGAGTTTTGCTGTTGTTTTGTACTGATTTGTTTAGAGATAACAAAACAATCTCACACAGAAGGTCTTGGTAAACTGATGGTGATAAGAAGGGACCACAAAATACACAAATGCACATGGAATTTGTAAGTATGGTGTGAAATGGGCTGGGTCACCACATGAGAGGTGTGATGGTTTAAGTTAACACATAATTGTTGGTACTTGAACTTAGCCGAGGTTGAATAGAAGGGAGGAAACTGTATGATGGTATTGGGGATGGGTCTGACATGTACTCTACTCAGAGATCTTACTCTATTTTTCCTGTCATATCACTGATTTATGCAGTCAATTGTTAGTTGAGCTTAGAAACCAAAGAAGGGCAGACAAATACTGTTTCCATTAAAACAAAGATCACATGAGCTTATTCGCATTTGTAGGTGGATCCCTGTCAAGAACTGGGGCTTAATTGGATGCTCACGAACAGGGCTCTTAATTTGGCCTGTAATCCATGTTGGCTCTAAGCGCACATACAAATGTCTCTTGAGCCTCGGCTTTACGTTACAGATTAAGAAGTAGTGGACAGATTGTCTAGTGCAGTCTTCCTACATTAGAAGTCACAAACTTCATGCGTTGTTATGGGTGGGGCCTAAATATTTTATCTATATAGGCAGAGTATACACAAACTGTTTAAACCTAAATTGCAACAAGAACAAAATCAGTGAATGTCATGTTTTTTATTTTCCCTTAACATGGATTTGCATTATATATAAAATGTTGATTAATATGCAAAACCAGAAGAGTTTTGTCTGTTTAGATGTTTTCATGTTAATTAAACTGAACTAATTTAAAATCAAAGTCTGACTAAGTTTTTCGTGTTTTCAGTGTCTGTGGGAGGAGATATTGCTATTTAAAGTTGTCTTTGTTGACAAATACCCTCCACTTGTATGAAACAGCCGAACCCAGAGACTTACATCCATGATTGGATGTATTTAAAGAGAGTCCTGACATGAATGCTTTTCATAATCCTCTGTGATCGTAGTGGGCGTGACATTACCCACCAATGATAAATGCAGCACATCTGTGTCAGTGGACATGCAATCCTGAGGTAGCTTCATTAACGTTGTTCACCTACAGAAGGTATATTAGCATCAGTAGCTAAAATGTTTCCTTACAGTAGCTGTGTTAGTATAAATAGTGTTTCATTGTTCAGGAACTATGCTCTTATTTTGTCATACCTGTAATATGGCATATCTAAAATTCTATAATATATTTAATATTCTCTGTATTTTATTAAAACTGATGTTATGTTTTAAGCCGCTTGGCCTAGCCTACAGTCTCACTGCAGACCTGTAACCTGACCCACTTTATCAACCAAACATTTAGCCTGTCAAGAGTTCATTTGCATTTTATTGGTTTTTGGAAATAGGCTCTCAGCATTTTTCTTATCTCTAAAAAGAAAAGAAAAAAACTTTATCAGGAGGCATAAACATTTACATAGCTAAATATAAACTAAGCAACACAACGTTTGGCCTTCTAGTTTGGAGCATTTTTATTGTTTCTGATAATATCAAAAAGGCACATAGGCTCCCAAATCATCATGAACTTAAACTTCCACTGCTAAAAAAAAAGACAACACTATTCACCCTGAGATCATATGATCCTAGTTTGACTAAGCATTTAGATAAGGAATTTGTATGGTTGCAGTGAGAAACAGAACAATGTTTGCTTAATAATTCCCAGAATCCAAAACCCTTAAGCTTTATAGTTAATAATGCAAAACTATTTGGTGAATAATTAGTACTTTAAAAAAAAAGATATATAACCAGTTATTCTAGAGAGCAATGAAGCATATTATATATGCAGCAATAATTTGCAGGCAAGGGGTTTTTCATGCCGATTTTTTGAAAATAAATATTAATAAAGATTGGTGTTATTAATCAAGATGCTGTATTTAATAGTCTGCTAAATGATCTTCACAGCTTTTATTTAAAGCAGAAATGCTACATTTATTCTTAATGCTTTAAAAACCTTTTTAATGCCTTAGTTAATCCAGCTACAGCAATGTTATCCATAGCATTTATTCAGTATTGATACAGACTTTTTAAAAACATATAGAAGGCACACTTACCAAATGTAGAAATTATTTTCTAGTCTATCTGTCTTGTTCTGTGCAGAGCTTTTCAGATCTTGTGATTGACACTTGTTTTTTACTAGGCTATTATTTAGTACTTATGGCATTACTCTGCATCAGCAAGTAGTGAAACATGAGCATTTAACCTCAGTTTAAAGAAATCTGATATGGATGCATCCCTAATCGGGATAGTTTTGCTCTTATAGTGCAATACAAGCATAGCAAGCCGATATTGGCAGGTTGACAGGTTCAGTTTCCGGCCAAGAGGTTAGTTTTTATAGCCAGTCATTTATTAGGATTATACACTCTGGATATTTTATAAACTCCAACACTTCCTCTGACGTCTCACCATAAGAACTTGAAGCCAAAAGCCTACATTTCTCAGAAAACCTGTTTTGAGGCTTGGTATACTGTGACACCAGTAATCAGCCCACGCATCTCATAAAGAGAGTATAAACCATACCTTTAATTGTTATATAATGAAGTAATCAGGTTAAATCTAATACTAGGTGCCACTCTGTCAAAGAATTATAAATTCCCCCTTAAAATTCTCTTGAGTCATCTAATCTGTTTTCAGTACCTTAATTCAAAGCAGTGCATTCAGGATGGACAGGCCACACATGTCACCGTGTTTGTCAGGCTGCTTTGTAACCTTACAGTGGTATGTATAGAATGTCTGCTATTCTTTAAAGCTTTGCTGGGCGGGATGGAAATGGGATGAACCTATACAGTCTGTTGAGCAAAGTGAAAACAGTTTGATCTGTTGAACCAGCAATAAAACACAGCTCCCTCAGTTTCAAGCATAAACCGATCCTACCCAACAGATACAGACACTCTCTCCTAAAACACAGCTGTGTGCTTAAACCATTATCCAACTAAACTGCTATGGTTTTTGTGACGGTCACATGACAGACAGCGAAAAGCACACAAACACGAGCACAGATGAATAGGGCTGATTCATCCCGCTCGCTCATTGGTCTCCGTTCGGTCCCCCTGGAGACGGAGACAAGCACTGTGAATACTGTCTGTCAAAAAGCATGAGAGCACATCCCCTGACACTTCCCACTGTAACAGCACTGATGAGGCCTGCAAAAACCACCAGTGTGGAGAGAGGGCTGAATAGAGAGAGGCAATGAATCCTCCTGCTTCTTTGCAGAAGGAGGGAAAAAAGGGGAGGGTTTGGGATCTTTTCATGGCTCCTTACTTTTCTGTTTTCATGCGACACGTTCCCTCCTTTCCACACTGCCCTCCTGCATTTCGCTTATTTCATTTCCTCTTTAAACCCGCCCGTTAACACAATAAGAGCATGTAAAGAATACATGTTACAGACACTGTATCAGCCAACATATCAGTAACTGTCTGTTGTTATTAAATGGACCGCAGCCATTCAGCTTCTCTGATCTCTAATAATATCTGCATGCTGGTTTCTATGAAAATCTTGCTGCTTATAAGAAGGCAAATATTTTCATTTTACTGTGCAAATGTGGCATTTTCTCCTGTATTGTAACCACAGGCTAAAACATGTTGTATGCAAATGAATTGTACAACAGTTTTCCAATGAAATATTGCCAAACTGGTCGATTGCTGATGGATAGGCCATCTGTGCTGCAAGCTTCCACTGATGTGATTCTGTTGTGTAGAATTAGAAGGCTGTTAGAGCTTAAAGTAATCTTACAGGTGCTTTGGAGTAAAATCTGGGTGATTTCTGTTTCACTAGCATTATACTTTTCTAGATTGTCAGCTCCCTCTTGTTTTCATTGTGCCCTGAATTGAAATGGCTGATCAGTAACCAATTCAGATGTGCTCAGATTGGCTTTTGTTCCGTAGCTCCAATTAGCATAAGAAAAGGGGGGTGTCAGGCCGAGGCATTGGAAGCCAAGGTCAATTTGACTTTCAATAAGGAGCGGACACTTTAGATTCAAGGAACTATTTGCATTAGCACAGCATTCAACTCTTGTATAGATGGCTGGACTGGCAGAACACATCCTATATACACACACACACACATATATATATATATATATATATATATATATATATATATATATATATATATATATATATATATATATATATATATATATATATATATATATATATATTTTTTTTTTTTTTTTTTTTTTTTTTTTTTTTTACTTCTGTGCATGAAACAGAAACTATAATTAGGCTTTTATTTCAGTCAAAATAAATTCAAGACGGTCTTTGGATTGAAAGGGGTCTCAGAGATACTTGTAAGTACTATGCTCTTATGGTGTAAACTGGGTCAGGGGGCCTTTTTTTCAAAGGTTAAGTAAACTTTTCCAGCGCTTGATGCCCAAGTTTTTCCAGGCTTAAAATCCAACCGAATCCTGAACACTTGAAAAAATATTGAATTAACATCAAACTAAAATTCTCAATTCTTTTTAAATGTTTAGATCAATGCATTTATGATATCTATATTGTGTTTAAAACAGAATGGACAAATTCCCTTTATATGTTTGTTAAATTTAACATGAAAATAGATGTAAATCGATAGTAAATTGACTCACATAACTGGTGTGAAAATGGAGTCAAACAGTAACCAATAAAAAAGATGTTGAACAGAAGCTTGAGTTTGATTTTTATCTGTTTTGTATTTGTGGCTGGAGGTGTGTTGAGAATACCAAACAAGGCAAGGCTCAGGAAATGTTAAGGATCTCTATTTCAAAATATTTGACCTACTGTGTATTGTTTTGATTCTTATTTGTTTTCTTTTTTAGATTTTAAGTCAATCACCTTGGTAAATAGTACAGTAAATAGACGGTGTGTAATTTTACATAAGGGAATCTACCGGATTTGTCGTTTTACTTTTCTTTTCCTCCTGTCCCCCCATCATTTTCTTGCCCTCCAGGTCTGCGAGTGGAGCAGGAGTTGGTGACGTCTTACCCTCAGGTGGTTGTAGTGCGGGTCCCCACGCCCTGGGTTCAGTCTGACAGTGACATCACCGTGCTGCGCCACCTGGAGAAGATGGGCTGCCGACTGATCAACCGGCCCCAGGCTATTCTCAACTGTGTCAACAAATTCTGGACCTTTCAAGAACTGGCCGGCCATGGGGTCCCTCTTCCTGACACCTACTCTTACGGTAAAAACGTACTAACGACCAACTTAGCAGTTGGTGTGTATATTTTCAAAATTAAAAAACTCCATGTGATAAATGTGTTTAGGTTTTGTAAAAAAAAAAATAATAATAATAATAAATCAGAATGTAACCTAAAATCCATCCAAGAAATTATATACACAAGGGTTGTGGAAAAAAAAATAAACATAAATATTCCTGTAAATAAAAACAGATGAATCATTTGAATCATTAGACCCTATATTTTATTTTCATAGTCAAGCTTAGTACGGGGCTTTGAGAAAGCCTGCACACTCTATGTAACAAAGGTAGAATAAAACATTTCTCGGGGATTCAGTTTTATAGACCAATATGAAGTTTTGCACAACAATGTGGTTTGCTCTGCTTCTGTATTCAAACCCTAAATAAATTCCAAACACCCAGTTTCCCTTAGAGACCATCTAATTCTAAAAAGCATCTAACCCAGCAACATGGTAGTCCACCTAAACTAACAGGCTAAACGAGAACAGCTGGAATAAGAAAAGCAGCCATAGCTGGAGGAGCTGTAGAGAACCACAGCTCCGGGGGGTGTGGATCATCTGCCGGGGCATCTGTTGATCTCCACATTTCTGACCTTTATTGAAAAGTGGCAAGAAGCATTCTGTGTAGAGAAAACCCAACCCTGTAGACTATGATAAATGCACCGTCCCCACGGAAAAACATGGAGAAACATTGTGGTACGGGTCCTTAGGAGGGACAGAGAACCTGGTCAGGATTGATTGGTGGAAGAATTGAGCTAAAACTCGAGAACAAACGTGTCAGAAGCTGCATACGAGTAGCAGGACTACAAAGCAAATCATAAAACCAGAGCTATAATATAATGGTTTAGATAAAGGCATGTGCATGTGTTCGAATGAACGGACTCAAATCCAGTCAGGAATCTCTGGCAGGGGAATAGTGACAGATGCTTCCTTTTCAATCTCAATAATTAGTGAGCTTGTTGTTGCAAAGCTGGTAGAAATGACGACTTTTTTGGTCTACATTAGAGATTGTGGTTATTAGTCAAAATTACATTAAATGGGTATGAATACTTAAGGCACTGTTAAGATCTGCTTAGTTATTTTGGTAAATTAAAGACAGTAAGGAGACACCACAATCTAGAAAATTAAAGGGATTATTTTGATTTGTAAAAACGAGTGAAAGGAGTACTACAGAGCCGGGACTCCTGTGTTTATTTCTTGTACTTCATAGATTGTTCTAAGCCCGACTACCAGCCGTGCTCATTTCTTTGTGTTTCAAAAAAAAAATTCAACATTGCTGTGGTATTCATGAGAGCAGAAAAGGAAGGATAGAGACAGCAGGGGGAAAAAAAGAATGAGCGGGGGCTGTTTGGCCTACATTCCATGTGTTTCTGTGCACAGTAGGCCAGGCGATGCATGTAGAACAGCTGGAGAGCTTATGTAACCAACCCGCAACCAGCCCTCCCCCTGCCCTTTCATTTTCAAAATAACGCTTTAGTGCCTCTACCAAAGAATACCATAGCGACTCACTGATTGATTTATCTGCTATCTTTTCCGCTCTTTCCTACATTTTCTTTTTTAGTCTGAGTGAAAACACATGAGATTTAGCACAGCAGGAGAGCCGAGGCACAGGGTTGTTTCCATCTGCTGCTTTGACTGCATGCCAGGTAAGTGCATGCAGGACGAGGGAGACATTGAGACAGACACAGGAGTGAAAAAGGGAAGAAAATGCAAAAAAAAAAAAAAAGATATTAACGAACATTTGAATGACCCATTTTTCCCCTCGAAAGTCCAATCAGGAAGCTGAAGCACATCCGTTGCAACAGGCTGCCATTATAAATCGCTGTCAAAAAAAGCTCAGCTGCTTTACATGCAATGCATCGGTCAGTGACTCCGCTCTTCTGTTCTGCGAATCAAGGCAACAGATTTGAGTCAGGCAGCACTCCCACAGCATCGTTGTTTTGAGTAAACCCTTGTTTCCATAGCAACACGTTTCTCTCCCTCTGCCGATCCTACCAGATTGGCTGTAATGTGTGAACCATGTCAAAAAGCAATCCCAGCTCCTAATTCGGTTTAATGTGTGTTTGTTGCTGCGTGTGTCTATGCGTGTGTTTGGATGGGTGTTTCTCAGGGGGACACGACAACTTCCGTAAGATGATTGACGAGGCAGAGCCGCTGGGATACCCAGTGGTGGTGAAGAACGCTCGCGGCCACAGAGGTAAGAGAATAAGCCCCATTACGTCCTGTCATTCAACAAGGTCACCACATTACATTTCAGTCCTCCCTGACATGACGTTCATTCAAAAAGTGTTAAATTATTAGCACTATGCTGCAGCCACAAAATACAGCCTCATATAGTCAGGTTAATAATTCCTGTCTTTAGGTTACGAATTAACACTCAGTTAAGTTCATGAAGGGCATCTGTGGAGGGTTTGAGACACTTGTGCATTGCCTTCAAGACAACAACCCCCACCCGTGCCATTACCACAGGACCATTAGCTGATTTCTATTCATAGTTATTGACTTATTTAGAGGCAGGATGAAGAAATAACCAGGATATTCCGAAGCCGAGGTTTCCATCACGTACCATTTACCCAACTGTGACAAATTTTATGTAGCCCTGAGTTTTTTAGTCTCCTTGTGAGGATACTCCTTTTAGATGCATTATGATTGTAAAGAAATGCCCACTTGGGTCAAATAATTCACAACATCCCAAATTACCAAACTATAATAATTGTATTCGAAGAATTAAACTTTGTGCTTGCCTTGTTTGTACTCTACTTCAAACCAACTCCTTTGCTGATTAAAATCTGAAGATTTACTCTTGTTTGGTTGTGTAATAACATTGTTATAAAAGGATTATCCCTGGAACAGTTCATAGGACCAGACACTGGAGAGACAGAGCCATCTTGTGCTAATTAAAACAGGCATCTTCTATCCTGTGTGAGAAGAGGCTCTGCAGGTCCTGTCAGTTATTTGAGAAATGGGAAATTGCATGAGAGTTGCTCATCAGAGAGCAGCTGTTTGCCACCAAGGTGCTAAGGAAGCTATTCAGCCTAAACTCTCATTTCATAATTAACCAACCCTGCAACTACTTGATATTATTTTAATTTGAACAAGTCTGTGTGTGACGATAGCCTGAAGAGTTGCTCATTTTTCCTTTCTTCTCCTCATTTAGTCTCTCCTTCCTTCTCTTAGGCAAGGCTGTGTTCCTGGCGCGTGACAAACACCACCTGACAGATTTGTGTCACTTGATTCGCCACGATACCCCCTACCTGTTTCAGGAGTACGTGAAGGAGTCTCACGGTCGTGACGTGCGAGTGGTCCTGGTGGGCGGACGTGTTATTGGCTCCATGCTTCGCTGCTCCACCGATGGACGCATGCAGAGCAACTGCTCCCTGGGTAGGCAAATTCCTAAGAGGCACCAACATTAGTTTGATTACAGCACATGCCTATTTAGTTTGTCCTTACAGTTGACAGTTCTGCCACTCTCATGTCCTTGCATTTTCTATGTTTTCATTGTGGCAGCTCGTTTTAAACACAGCCAGGTAAATTGTTTGAGTATTAGCATGTGTTGAGAGGGTGCTAACCAAGAAAGAGGTTCCTGCTGAAAGACAGATACCTTTAGTCTCCAGCAAAGCCAGCAGTTTCCCACATGGACGAGTCCAATGTCTTCTGGAGAACTTAATGGTCAAGTGGTACTGTTTGTTTTGCCAAAATGTCAGAGGTATGCTTTAAGTAGTTATCGCAGGGCTTTTAAACCTGAAAAGGACCTAATTCACCAGCTGTCAGGTGGTGGCAGCATACTGCAGAGTCTGCTTTACTGCAGTGACACTGATGTTTTGCATACAGTGGATAGAATAATGGAGGTTGATAATTCAAAGTCTTCTAAATTAAAGAGCTGAAGGGTTCATACAGAGAAACTAGTTAGTTTCACAAAAGGACCCTAATCCCAGCACATTTTAAGACTGGTTCTAAAATAGATCTACGGTAAACCTGGTTTATATTTATAGATTTATTCGTAAAAGTAAGGTGGGTGCAAAAAAGTCTTGCTCTTTTCTGCAAAACTCTGCCGCCTCTCCGACTTGCTACAAGGCAGTTATGCAAATCTAAGTGTATTTGTGATTTCTACATAGCTTTAAGAGTCAATGAGCATTTCAGTTCAAGATTGCCTAAAAAAGACACAAAACTGAAAGTCTGACCGGTCAGTAGTGAGTTTATCTAAGTTATTTAAATAGCTTTAATGGCTCTTGATGTTATTAATAATTTAACGTCTATATTGATAGGTTTTATTCTACTATATTTAAGCTGTAATTTGGTTTCTTTGACCATCAGTGTGTATGAATATGTCTGTCCTAATGTGTTCAGGTAGTGTTTATTAGACCCTTTAGCTGATGAGGCTGATTTGTAAAGCGATGATGAGTATGTTTAGTCTAGCTGAAGATGAAGGGCTCTGACATAATTGGGACATTGGCCGGCAGATTTTTCTGAGTTTATGGGACAAATTGGGGTACAAATATGAGAAATATGGAGAGGAGACTTGCATTTTCATTTTCATTTAGTCCTATTACAGAATTAAAATCAGAACAATATACATATTGTTTATCATGTTTCTTTATTTATCAACCATATTTTTTCACTATACTGACTAAAATCAGATGTATTCACAAACCCACGTCTCCAAATTGTTAGGTGGTGTGGGGATGATGTGCCCTCTGAGTGAGCAGGGCAAGCAGCTGGCCATTGAGGTGTCCAACATCCTGGGCATGGACGTGTGCGGTGTGGATCTCCTGCAGCTCAACGACGGCTCGTTTGTCGTCTGCGAGGCCAATGCCAACGTGGGCTTCATCGCCTTCGACCAGGCCTGCGGGATTGACGTGGCGGGGATTATAGCTGACTTTGCCCTTTCAACGCTCCCAAGCCGCCTGACTCGGAAGATGTCCCTACTGTCCGTGGTGTCCAGCACCAGCGAGACCAGCAGCGAGCCCGAGGTTTGCATGGTGAACACCAGCGGGGGCTCCCTGCCAGAGGCTGTCTGCAACATGAGCGTGGGTTCCTCCTCCAGCGAGAGCGACCCAGAGTTGGCCGAGCCCTCGCAATCGTCGCCTCGTCACTCCTCAGCCTCCGACCTCCCCGATCTTCCCGACGCAGCTTACAACTTTAACACCCTCCTAGCCAATGAGATCAAGCTATTGACTGAGTGAGAATTCATTCACACTCCCCCTACGCAACACACATCAAACACATACAGTACATACACTTGTAAAATCACACATAGAAAAAAAAAACACTCCGAAACAAATAATCATAATTTCTGTGCAAAAAAAAAACAGCTAAGAGAAACAAAAGAACATTGTGACAGCAACATCTAAACACAAGCCTTCACCTGTTGAGATCTACGGCTGCTCCCCTGATTCTCTTTTCTTTGCATTTTTTCTTGAAATCCCTTAAAGGTATCTAAAATCAGGGTATGCTCTCAACTAATCTTAACAGCATACAGCATATGAGATATCAGCCAAAACTGGCCTCTGCTAGTGTGTATTATTTTATTTTGTATGGTTGAAGAATTTCATTAAATGCCATGTATTTAAACATCCTCACAATGTAAAAAAAAAAAAAAAGATCTGAAAGGTTCTGCTGACGCGGTTATCTTTGGTCGATGCTGGGCAAAATGAAGTATTTCTAAGTTGAATGTACCCTCAAGCTAGGCATGTCACTCCGTCAGTTACAATTTAGTCATAAAGTGTTCATGAAAAGGGCAGAAAAGACGGGGACCTGAATGAAGGTGTGCAAACTTTATATCAGCAATTTGCTGTCCTGTTCTGCTAGGACTCAAAAATTAAAAAATTAATTTCCAACATTTTAGGTTCCATTGTGTTGGATTACCAGCAGCAGCCATCTGCTTTTTCTTAAGGAAAACATGAAATGCCTAGCACTTTACTAAAAGCGTTTTGTCTTTTTATCTCTTAGTGACATATTTAGGAAGAATGAGACCGTTTTTAAGCTGTTTCATTACCTGAAAGCAAAGTATACCTCAAAACAGAGATGTCTCACTGCCATAGGACATCCCAAACACATACAGAACATATCAGCTTAGGCTCTACTCACCTTCTAAACCAGGTGTTCCTTCCTCTCATGTCTAGGACCTAAAATATCATTGTATTTTATGTCTGTTATATATTTTTTGTTATTAATTGAGATATCAAAATTAGTTTAAGCATAGTAGTATGCAGCTGATAAAACTGGAACAGAGAGAAAAAAGGCCAACTTTGCTGTTGTTGTGATCTACTGTGGATAAACTGGATTGTACAGACCTGTGATTTTAAGAGACTCAAGCTGCAATTAGGTTGGGCAGTTGTGGATTGGGTTAGTTCAGTCATGTAATTATAGATTTTTATCATTCCATTAATTTGCTGTTAGTTGTTGAAGACACCCACATTTTAAAAAAGAAAACAAACAAAAAAATATTTCTTTAAAGTTGTATTCAACAGATTTTTTTTTCTTAATGGAGGAAAGAGACAAACTAAAACAGCTGCCAAGACTTTATTGTTTACAGCTTTTGTTCCTGTGGATTTTACTTGTGTGTACCTGGTGACAGTTAAGGCAGATGCATGAGGTATGAAGCAGTATTCCATGACTTAGGGAACATTTTCAGGCCAACTCTGATCAAAAGCACAAATATAAACCCTGAATCGTCCACGTAGCTCTCTTTAGGCTCGTAACTCTTTCTGTTGAACACAACTCAGGGAAGCAGCCTGGATCTCAGTCCTGACCCTTCCTTAAAACATGTCATAAACATAACACATACTTACATGTAGACCAAAAAGATAAAAAAAATAACAACAATGAAAAAAGGTTGTAAACTACAGTATGTGGTGTATACCATGGTTAACATGCACTTTTTTCCTTGCTTGTTTCATAATGTTCCATGTTTTCTTCCTAATTTATGGGATTTTTTTGAAGAAAAAAAGTGGTTTGTGTGCACTAATATTGTGTCAATAAAGTGAAACCTCTGTGAAGCTTGATTTTCCATTTTCCTTTGTCGGGGGCCAAATTTGTAACTGTATGGTGTCCAGCAGGTAAACGAGGGGGGGCAGGGCAGCTTTTTATTTTTTAAACTCTTGTGATCGCAGTGAGGTGTTGTAGTCAAGACCCCAACAACCGAGAAGTACTGAGACAATACCAAGACATTTAGAGGCGGAGACCATATAAGGTCTCAGTAATCCTCGGTCTTGGTTGGTGTGGTTTTGACTACAGCACTATCGCAGTGGCTCCGTTTACACCTCTACTGTGATGTTGTGTGGTATCTACATGATCAAATCCATCAAAGACTGAAATCTGACATCGCCCACATTCCTGACATGATGGAATGCTCACATGGTGAACCCTTCCCAGCATCAACAGCATATTAAAGCCTCTATTCAAGCATCTTTAACATAAATGAAGATCGCACAGCCATTTCAAAAGAAATAAACACTTGTTTCTCTCTCACAGACCCTGTTATGCAATTACTTCATTCATCTATTTATATATATATACAGACAATAGTTCATTTAACATCAGCCTGATGGCTCTGATTTTGCGTTCAAGTTTTCCTAGTATTTAGAGTACATCTGGATTATAATCTGCTTTCAGTTCTGTCTGATCATAATTATTCAGTTGCCTACAATGAAGTGAAAAGCTACTGAAGGAATATGGCAAAGGAAAGTAAACAGAGTTTACTGTGGAGCAGGGTCCACGGACAGCCCAAAGGAAGGTTTTATAACTGTGGAAAACTCCACTTTGAAAAGGTTACTGTTAGATTTCCAGTTCTGCTGTTAAAAAAAGGGAATTTAAGTTTTCCATTGATTTTTTTGTTTAAAAAAGGGAATTTAAATGTAAAAAAACAGACCCACCTTTATTTGTTTTAGATAACTTAATATAACACTAACATTGAAGTGGTTATCAGACTGTTTGACCATACATTGTGTCTTAGCATATTAAATCAAACTACACTTGCCTATAAGATCTGTTTTAAAACCTACATTTCCTGAAAGGTTTCAGATATATGTATGTTTGCAGGAAGAAAGCGACTTTGAGCTTACGTGACTCACTGCAGCTCTCTGCACATTTTATAAAGGAGTTCAAGACTGTTAAGATGGAAAATATGAAAGTGGTTGCATAAACTGTCCCAGTAAATGTCACTTCCCTTTTGCTTTGTTTTATTTCTGGCTTAAGATTGTTGTTCACAAATGTCCAAAATCATGTAAATATAGATCCATCTTTTTTTGATTAGAATAAAGAGTCATTATTCCAATCAATGAAAATGTGCCCTTTGGATTTTTATTTGATTGTTTTAAGTTTGCATGTAAGAGGAAACAATTATAGTTTTGCTTTTTTAGTCAAACATTGACGTTTAAGACATTTAATCTAAAATAAAAATGTTATCAAGCAAAGTTAACCTAATAAAATACCTAAACTCAACTTTTTATGAAGAAACAGCCAAAAAAAGAGATTGCCTCTGAAAACCTGATCACTAGTTTAGCAGCAACTGTTATAAGTGTTTACCAGAAACTGGCAGCCAGTCGTTACATAACTATAGTGATGATCTTGTTTCTTTAAAACTTAAGGAGAACTGCAGATTCTGCAGTCTCACTTTAGCCTCCTTCTTCCACAGCTCATTTTCTGGTAAGTATTTAACATGTTTTTGTTGAATGTTAGTTGGATCTTCATCTTGCTTCAGGTCAGCAATGTTTTCGGTCATAAAACTCTGTAGTGGAGGTCATTTTTACTCAATGTCTCTACCTTATCATTAAATCATCAACACTGACCTTAATTGATGCAAGTGAGGCCTGCAGAGCCTTAGATGCGTTTTGGGTTCCTGTGTGATGAGTCGTCGATGGGTTCTTGGAGTAATTTTGGTAGACCAGACACTCATGGGAAGGTTTATCACTTGCTGCGTGTTTTTGTGGTTCACTGGAAACCGGTGGCTCAGATTGGGCTTTTTAACCCTTTCCAGATTAAAGATATCAGGAACTTTGTTTCTCTGCTGTTCTTGAGCTGTTTTAAATTGGGGTGTGTTGCTTTATGAGATCGTGTGCCCTGCTTTGTTACTAGACAGCTTCTAATTTAATGATTTAAATAATGAGGGTGGGTTGAGGTCCTGAAGAGGATTAATACATCAGTTCAGGAGTCAACTAGATGGTTATTGTGGTTTCATAATAAGGTTTTTCTCTTTTACAAATCATAATTTGATTACTTACCTTTTATACATTTAAGTCTAAAAAGTTAAAACAGGAAAAAGGGCATCTTTCTTCAAAGTACATACATTCACAAATGATAAGTGGATGAATAATAAAATGTTTTATTATTTAACTTTTCAGCTACTCTCTCCATCCCTGTGTGGATGAACTGTAAGGTTGAAAACATCGTTGGAATAGATCTCAGGGAAGAACCAAAAGGCAGAGCAGGGGTGTTGTCTAACCAGAAGCAGGCCGTGGTTCAGCCTGCAGACTGCACCTGCTGCAGCAGCCCTTGGATGGATTCTGTCAGGTCATGTTTTGCTATCTGCTGGCTGGCCTGCAGGGCTGTGCTGCCAAATCCCAGCGCCTGGCACGGAAACAAACACAAGCACGGCTCGTCAGAGCCTCTTGGGAAAGCAAAGCTGGCTTTTATAATGATGTCACTGAAACTAGACCACACGTTCAGCTTAATTTAACCCACTTGAGATACCCTACTGACATCCTGATATGCTGTGCTCGTTCATTACGGGAATCGATTTAAGATGGTTATAAAATCATAAACGAATATATGCAATTATAAGAGACAGCCCTGTCTGCATCTTTCACAAGCTGAAAGATGGGTGTTAATTTTATAGACAAAATGTAATTTTATCTACCAAAGTGGAACTGCATTTCAACAGGTTACAAAATCGCGATTTGAAGCCGTTTTGCTATTTGTAACATAATTGTTTAGATAAAATCAATACAAGCGAATTTCAGATGGAGCTGACAGGACATTTGTCTGTAATGAGAAATGCAGGAGAAAGTGGGTCACACAGCGAGACTATTCAAAAGCATGCAAGGCATTTCAAAATTATTAAAGTAGACTGAAGTTATTGTTTTTCAATATCCAAGTCAATGACCTTAATCCAACAGGAATGTAATGGATGGATTTGAAAAAAGCTGTTCATTTGCGAAGGACATCCCACCAACATTCCAGAGTCTGAGCGCTGGTGGGTGGGGCCTCTCTTAAAATACGTTTGTGTTTTATTACTAAGATATGAAGTAGGAATTATTTATAATATAAAGATGATTTTAACATAAAAGTTTTAGGTGGTTTATGATGATATATTAAATGCATTACATAGAGGCTTGTAAAAATATTCATACCTCTTACAACAGTGGTGTCCAAACATTTGGCACCTCAATCTCCAGACTGAACATTATCAGGGACCATGTGATGCTATTATAATTTTTATTTTCTATTTGGCTGTTAAAGAAGGAAATACATACAAAACACATTGATTTTATGTGTAAAAGAATAGATTGCAAATTAGCAAAATGGCCTAAGTAATTTTGCTTAAAAAAGGTGTCAGATGTTTTCTGTTTTGTTGCTTTACAAAACATTTTTAGTCTGTTCCTAACAATGAGAAATCTATTTATAAACCCTACCTTAAAGTGCCATTAATAGGTGTTTAAGGTAGGAAAGGAGCCATGGCGACAAGAAATAAAGTACTTGCAGTCACAGTACACTAGGCCAAGTCCAGGATCAGATTGTCGCGACTCTCTCTAAATATCCCACTAATATGCTCCTTGTGTTTACAGGGTCACCAATTAGTAGTAATCCAATCTTTAGACAATGCTTGGAAGATCTAGGAAACGGTGTCACAGAGTCACCTCGTCAGCTCACTGACCTTTTGGAAGTCTCCTCTGAGCAGCCACAACATGGCCAGGCAGTGGGTCAACAGCGCTGCCTGAACTGCGTTTTTTCTGAACTCCTTTTGTTGAAATTCCAACATGGTTCTCAGCATCTCCTCCATTTCAACCAGCCGGGATTTTTCTAGTTAAAGTATATATAAAAAAAGAAAAGATATTTTATTTTTTACCTTACCTTCACCTTAAAAGTGAATTGAATGTTATTAAAAACACACAAAATAATATGTATAATAAATAAGAATTCCCTGAGTGTTCTGCTTAGGGTGTGTCTGTTAAATGTTTATAGTTTTTCTCAGCATCCTTTCTCACCTGCTTTCGTCAGCAAACATCACATTAAGCCTGGGAAGTTGCTTTGCAGCTAACAGGCTTAGTAATACATGTAGGGCAGCAGCTGTGATAGAGGCAAGTAGTGCGGATGCTGCTCAGCCAGCGTTGTGTCAGCAGTGGTCTCTAGTCAGCCCTAAGTGTGTAAATCTGGGGTTTAGCTTTTGGGCTGCACAGCAAGGCAGATCAGCTAAATATAGCTCAGTTGACCTTATTTTTCTTTCCGTTTCTCATTTGTTAGTTTGTACGTTAATGGAGCTCTTGGCTAGAGTTTGAAGTGTGATTTAAGATGAACAGATGGGGATATTTTCTGGTTATTCTTATAGCTTAGAGTAAAGTAAGTATATGTTTATCTGTATTTAGATCTGTTTTATAGAACTGATTAAAGAAATATCCACCATAAGAGGAATATGGCGACACAGCAGAGTTCTGGAGGACATTGGTGTTGGTTTTCAACAGACCGCTGAGATGGTTGTGCCAACTTTGTGCGACCTACAAAATAAACAAAGAATTATTAGATTAAATTTAGAAAATAAAGAAAAAATATTAAACCACACGAGCAAATACAAACCACAAATATTTTCTTTCTTACATTCTGGCTGAAACTGTTCTTTTTAAGACGTAATTTAGTGTTCACAAAATATATATAAATCAGGTGTTTATATCTGGTCATTTTGTTATTATGGCTGAATCTTAATGAAAACCTTATATTCATTTTATTAGGAAATTAGAATATTATATTAGACCAACAGATAAAGCATTTTTAACACAGGTAAAATATTTTCAAAGCATGTACTTATAGCATCTTCCACTCAGTTTCCATAAATATGCTTAGGTACAACATTCTGTAAACAGACAGCTTGCAGGGACTTCCATCATATGGAGGGTGTCACTCACTGTCTTTGTGATAATTGTGTGGCTATATATGAAATGTCCAGAAATAAAGTTTATCTTTCAGAAATTAGTAGAAGGGTTTTGGGTTTTCTTAAATTATCAGCCGTAATTGTCTAAATTAAAAGAAACAGACATTTGATACAGCTATGTAAAAAATGTATAAACAAGTTCCACTTTTTGAATTTAATGATGGAACGAAATTACTTTCCCAGCATATTCTGATTTATTGAGATTCATTGCTGGTGTTTATTTTAGGCTGATTGACTACTTACATGATCTAAAATGCCTCTTTGGATTATAAAGAACAAAGAAATAAAGCAAAATATGTGTATGGGAAAACCTTAGAATATAAGTAGTGAACCAGGGTCAACTTCTTTTGTTTGAAAAACACGGCAGCCATTAGAAAGTAGCCCTTAGAGGTGGTGGCGCTGTCAAAACCATACTCCTCAGTGGCATAGTATATCTGCAATTAAAAAAAATATACATATAGTTAATTATTTTGGATTTCACTCAGTTATTAAAAGCCTTTTGCAAAATCGTTTATGTCAGTAATGGTTATTAAAAATTCGAACATCATTTGCAAAGTGATGCAGAGCTGCTTCCAGCTTTCCAGCTGCCATGCAGAATTGGCCCAGGCTCCTATGAAGCCAGTGTTGGATGAAAGGTCCTGGTTCTGGACTCCTCACCACGGTGAGCTCAGCCTTTGAAAGGTGTCTTGCTACAGCAGCAGTATTATTCAGGCCTGGAAAGGTGAATGAGGCAATGTAAGAAATAAAAATAAATATATTAGCTGACCCAAAGTACCGACTCTGTGCTCATCTCTTACCAGCGTTGGCCTCCGCCAACAGCAAATAGGCAGGAACGAGCTCAATGCTGCTAACACCATGTACGTCAATGGATGTTTGCAGGCAGCAGTGAGCAGCAGGAAGTGCCTCTTGATGTTTTCCCTCCAACAGCTTGCATTGAGCCTCCAACCTGCAAATCCTAATCAGCTCTATCTGAAAAAGCAGCCAAACCCATGGTTACCTTTGCTCCAACTTCATTCATAAGACTTGGAGAAATTATTGTGTAACATTTCAAAGAAATATAGCATCCAGATCTTATACGTCATCCCATTTCTTTGAACTATCATTTTCAGAAGTAAATTAGACTCAGGTGGTTCTGAAAAATCCAAAGACTGGAGACTGAAATAAACAGAATCCACTGTAGAAAACACTGACCATGAAAATTAAAGATCAATTTTTCTAGAAATTCTTCATTTTGAAATCTTAATATTTTTCTGTCATACTTTTCAGGTCAGTAAAAAAATAAATAAAACTGAGAGCGTAAGTTAAGCATTGCAGGTCTCATCAGGTCTGTTGTCATAGCATCTTTAAGAAGGAATTGTTTTTTTTTTTTTTATCACTATGCTGTTATTTTTCAGTTAACTTTTCCTGAGAGATGAAGAAAGAAAAAATATAAATTAATGGTGTTTTTAAATAGCTGTGTACACACTTTTAATATGTATACACTAATACATTTACCTTCTTTAGCTGGTTTGCCCTGAGGGCGGCTTGGTTGGGAATATCTGTTGGGGCACGTATGGGAACAAGCAGCTGACAAATCGTTTCATGGATTCCCGCCCAGTCAGCCTGCTGGTGCTCCACATTACTAAAGAGACATAGAAATATATCTGTCATCCAGCCAGACATATCATCTCTGCACCAACAGCAGTAATTCCAAGAAGTCAAAATTACTTCAACACCTCCAAGAAACACTCTGCTGTTCGTGACGCACTGCATGTAATGTTTTAGGCCAGCATGTCCCAAAAGTTGTGAAATACCAGAGAAACAAAGAATGTATGAGGGTAAAGCGGTTTTTTTTTTTTTTTTTTTCTTCTGTTGACATTCTAAAAAGCCATCCAAGTTTAAGGAGGACAAAGTTAATTGAAAGCTACAATAACTAACCTGTAATTTGGTTCCTCTGGATCTTTTCGTCTGAACACTTTTGTGGAAACTGTCTGAACCTTCCGTGCATATTCCTTTCCCGGGACGATGTTTGCTCCCTCCATTGCATTTGTCTTTTTAATCAGGCAGAAATCTGGCCATACCACATCACCACAAACCGGACAATGAATGCTGCTCAGCTCAAGGCCCAATTTACTCTAACACAGTGCTATGGTTTTACACTATTTAACTAAGCACACCCTTTATATGTCATGTACACCTTTAGACATATTCTACATTATGTTAAAATACTGCAACAAATTTGAGGTATTTTATTCTAAACACCTTTCTCTGCAATAACAGCTTGGATGCTTTTGTAATATTCATCAGCTCTGCAAATCCATTAAAATGTTTGAATTGGAAATGCTCTAATTGGAAAGGGTCTCTGCAAACATGTTTATTTTCTTTTTTTTTTTCATATTAAATCAAAACATGAAAAAATGTAGACATTTTTGTTTAAACCATGATAAAACACGTATTTGGTAATCAATGCCATGCTTAAAAGATTTGTTGTTTGAGATCAATCAAATGGTTTATTAGTGTGGCTCTTTCAACAAAATATGTTCTAACCAATTACGATTAGTTGGTAATGCCTTGTTTTTAGCTCCAACCATTACTTCATTATTGAAGCAAAGCCTCCTACAGCATGATGTTTCACCTATATAGGGTGGTGTGTTAACGGGGAAAATAAGGGTTACTCTTTCTCCAATTCGGTTTAATCTGACAAAATAAACTTTCGTTGCATGGTTACCCTCTAGAAAGCAGCAAAAAATGAAATCTGGTCTTCCAGCGACTTCCATTAGTACATTTTCCCTTGCCTGACAACAAATGATCCCATCTGAAATAAGAATCTCTGCAACTCCCTCATAAATACCATAGCAGTTTCAGCTGCTTTGGTGCTGAATGTTCTCCTTAATCAAAAAGATTAGGTGGATGGTCGTATCTTATCAGTTTGGCTGTTGTGCCAAATTCTTTACATATTCAGATCACGGTTGGAATAGTCCTACCTAAGATGAGTAAAGAGCAGAATATTATTCTATAGCCTAACCCTGTTTTGCATTTCTGCACATAATTATCCTGTTTGATCTGTTCTTTGGTCTCCATGATGATGTACATAATTTCTAAAAAAAATCTAAAAATAACAAAAGAGCTTCTATAATAAATTCATTTAAAAAACACTCTGAGAGTGAAAGAAACCTTAGAGGCATTAATGCTGATACTGGTACTTACATTTTTGAGTTTGTAAACCTGAATATAATTTTTAACTAGGCTTATTAACTTTTCTTTCTTTACTTAATTTACAGTAGGTAATATATCATTCAAGGGCTCACCTAATTGGTCAAATTCCAAAATAAGATGTACAGCAGATAGCAGTATGTTTGCTGAATGGCTGGATATAGATCTTGTGCTTCTAGACTTATGCAAGTGATCAAAAACATCAACTTGCCCTATAAAGTATTAAAAAACAGATAAAATAATTTTAAAGTTTTGATAGAAAAATGTATATTACACCTTTCTAAGGCACACTGAATAACAAAACATTGCAAAGGTTAGTGCTTTAGCAGGTCTTTAGGTTTTAATCCAGTGCAATGGCACCTTTAATTACGAATATAGTAGGTTTTATTATGACTTAATTTTCTGTATAAAGGTTTAACAGAAAGCATGCACAGTTAGTAGCTGTAAACTCCATGATACTGGCTTTAGTTGCTCATCCTTTATCATAATTATCCCCTGGGTAGGCCTCCACATGCTCCTGTTCACTGCCACTAGGGGTTTACTGAACAGTTTTATGCTTTAGGAGCAGAAAATAAAGACCAATAATGGTTTTTTGGTCCTATTAAACATGGCAGAAGACTGTTTAGTGACACTGAAATAATATAACAGCAGCACAAGGGTAAACCAAAATATTATTACACTGTCGTAATCCAGTTTTCAGCTGTTTCATTTTTTCCTAACGGCAGCCACATCACCCTGGTGATATGTGTGGCTCATACCGCCACCTAGTGTTAGGTCTGCGTATCCTTGCTAAAACCAAATTAATGTTAATATTATAGGCAATGCGGTTATAAACTCCTCTCACTAACAGTAGGGGTATTTTTATGGTGTGAGCAAACATTAAATGTTTAGACAAGATGGCTACGGAGCAAGCTTACCAATAGAAGGTGACTCGACACTTGCTGCATTGAAAATACGCCTCGCCATGACATAGCTCGCAAAACTTTTTCTTTCCTTTAGGTAAAGCAAGAGGTAAGATGCTGGAGGTCGACGCCATAGTTGATAGAAAGCCTCTTGGCAGCTGGTTTTATTCGCAGCACTTTCTTCGGAGTTTGTGGTTGCCATGGAAACTAATTAGCGGTGACGTTGATTTTAACCAGGAAGTGTAAAAAGGAAGAGGAGGGGTGTGTGAACAGCTCTCACGCATATGTAGGGCAAAAATGTTGGTTTATTTCCCTAAATATATGTAAATAAATATTTAGGGGATTCTAAGCCACACTTAAAACGGTGTTTCTAAGCCTAGGTAAAAAAAATGTAGCTGTTCAATTAAATTCAATTCAGTTTATTTATATAGTGCCAATTCACATCACATGTCATCTCAAGGCACTTTACAGTTCACCAGATCATACAGTCTAATTGATTCAATGTTTTCTATCTAAGGAAAACCAGTTGATTGCATCGACTTATTGATTCAAATGCAATCCCTCACATTAAGCATGCTTGTAGCGACAGTGGAGAGGAAAAACTCCCTTTTAACATAAAGAAACCTCGAGCAGACCCAGGCTCAGTGTGAGCGGTCATCTCCAGTAGAGATACAAACAGCAACTGTAAAAGGCGGCCTCTTGCAGGAAACACACAGCCAGGCAGACAAGCTCTGAGCCAACTCCCATGTTAGAGGATGAAGAGAGTACATCCAGCTATTTTATTATATTTACCACTTTCTCTGTTTCTGTTTGTTCATAATGGGCAGGCAATTTTTTAGGACACCAGAAAAGGGAGAGACTCCACCAGAAGATATATTGACTGCTGTCAGGCAGTGAGGCTGCAAAATCAATCAGAAGGGCTTTATTTTATTGAAGAAATAAATATTTTGATATTTAATTATACATTTGGAATTCTGGTTGCAAATTAAATTATTATGCTCTTAAACTTTGCAAATAAATGCGAAGAGTCGTTTTGAATTCTGATTTTTGTTTAATTGACATTTTACTAAAAGACATACACTTGAGATTTAAATGAAACCGTTTTTGTTTTATTTTTTGATAACTTATGGTTCCCTGATTCAGGAAAGTGTTACACTGATCAATTAAATTTGTGAATTTCCCTATCCAACTCTTAAAATGTTTTGGTTTCTTCCCACCTTCCATTAAGATACCATAAGAACAACCCTGCATTGGGGTTAGTTTTCATAAGTGGAAAGTTAGTGATTTGCGATCAACCACTTTTGAACTGAAGGAGATACAGGACAGTAACTTATATGTTTTGTTAGCTGAGAGTTTTAGCTTTGTTTAAACATTGAAATGAAATCTTTAAAATATGTTGTTTTGGAGAAAAAAAGATGAAGGTAAAAACTGTAACAACCGTCCCCGCTCTTAATCCTGCTTTTCGCAAGACAAATGGCAGGAATTGCAGGAAGCCATTTAACAAAACAGACCAAAAGCCATTGTCCACTAATGGAGAAAACATTAAGCAGTGGTTGACCTTCCTAGGAGTGGGAGACCTGCCAGTAGAGAACACCAGGAGGTCACAAAAAATGCTGCACATTTTAAATGTTGCAGGATTTTATTGCTTTTGTAGTGGTTTGCTTGATGAATTGTGATTTAACAATAAGAAATAGAACAGAAAAAACAAGTTTTCATAAGAGGGTCAAAAACCACGACAGACCACAAATAAACAATCTTTTGCTTGTCAAAAAACTTTACTGACATACCTTTGGAAAAAACACATATTCTCACACAGGTCCAGGTTGACTTTATACAGTTTTTCAGTTATAAATTGAACTTTTTTTGTCGGAAATTATACTTAAGAATGATGATCTGAAACATAGTAAGAGTTGCAGAAAAAATAAAGAGAAGAAATCTCTAAGGAGGAAAATAAAGGTTTTACACTACTATATTTATCCTGCAGAGGTCTACAATGTGGGAGTCGTGACCCCTAGTGGGTCGTGGAGGTACTGCAGGAGAGTCCATTTTACAGAACAAAGTATTTAGTAATATCTACAGATCTGATAACTGTGGTTATTCTTGATTTATTTTTATAATAATTAGTATTAATTGTATATTATTTGATGGAAATCAGGTCTAAAACCTGGATGACACTGAGATCCCACCCCCAGGACAGACATCTATCCTTGCTCTGTCTTTTCATCTTGCTGTGGCTCCAGGACTGAAAACCACCTAATGTGTTAAATTAAACCAACATGGAGTGTGTGTTGCTAAGAAGCTCAGCCTTATTCTCATTTTAGTAAAGTACACAATTCTGGTTATGGTCCCAGAAAAAAAGGCTTCTTTATATTTTCGGACACAACATCCGAACAACTGTTTGGATTGTAGATATCATCTAATGGTTGTTATGGAGACCTGGTGACCCAAAGATGCACCCATTTCCTTCACTTCTCTAGATTTTAACTTTGGACAATTTTTTACTGCCTTAACATCCTGTGGATTTTTGTATTGAAAATAAGAGTTTTAGTCTTTCCTTTTTGTGATATTTATTTGAAGATTTAGCAAAAAGGCATTTTACATAAAAAGTTTGAGGGAAAAGGTTACAAAAATGTTCTATTAAAGCAGATGTCGTACAAGTCGAGAACTCAGAGCAGAATAGCTGGTTCATATATATGTTCTGCTTTGATATATACAGATACAATTAAAACATTAGATAAAGAGAGAGCCCTTATGTCATTTTGCTTTTTCAAAAGCTGCGTCTCCAAAAATCTGAACTGAGTTCCATAAACCTTAAAGCTGCCAATGCCGATCTTCTTTGTCTGGTCATTCCTTCTTACGCAGGTGGATATACATTACTCCGCTACACAACAACAAAGGGACGCACACCCAGGCCAAGATATAGCAATAGCCAAAGTCTCCTGATGTCGGGCTTTTTGAGTCTGGGAGGATTTCCTTATTGTGCAGAGTGTAGATTAGTGCAGCAGAAAAAGCAGTCAGACCTTTAAAAACACAAATGCACAAAGACAAAACAACTGTTGAGCAACAGCTTACACAGGAGGTTACTTAGAACAAAAAAAGTACATAAACTGAGCACAATTTTGAAGTTGTTCTCTGAGACCCTGTTATTATTAAATGAACCAAGGAATTGTTCAAAAATCTATATTTGTCATAATTTTTACTAAGTTGTATCCAGAATTGGAGGATGTTTTAAAGGTTTTTTTTTCCCTTTGAGGTGTCTGTTTCTTATGAATAAATACCTGCAAAGACCTGACACAGTCCTGTGAAGTAGAACAGTCCGCCCTTTGACATAGTGAACAGCTGGCCCAAGAACACCAAAAAGGAGACTGAGGAGAAGACCACTGAGAGAATCATGAGGACCTGTACAGCCTGAAGCCACTCTGATAAAATAAAACAAATTTATTTCAATTAGTTTACGTCCTTATTTTTGGAAATCGGACAAATCCAATCTATAAAGGCTAACCTGTTTCTTTGGTGGTTGCACATAGCCAGGTTCCTGTAGAGTTGTCAAGCCTACAGTTGTACCAAAGGTCTGAACTTTCTGTGGGATTCCACACCCACCAAGACTTTTAAAATAAATGAAAGCAATAAACATTGTTAAGAGATGCCTCTAACGAAAAACAATACCCCTAAAGTAAAGTATAAGTTTTACCTTTTCCATGGTTGCAATAAACAGCATGGCCAGCGTGATGAGATGCAGCATGGTGACAAAAATGAGTAAGTAGGCCATTTTTAAAGCCCTGTGGAAAAGAAAGCAAAATCAAGTTTTAAGTTTTGTAGAAAAAAGAAACTTGAATTATCATAAAATTACAGTGAGATGGTAATAAGATGTAAAACAATATATATATATATTTCCCCATTTTTAGGTTTCCTATGATTTTATTTATGTGTTAGATACAAATGTTAGGATGCCACCTTTATGCAAACAACTGCTATTCAGGTTCAGGCAGAATATTACTTTGACCCACAATTTATTTTTTTATATCATTTCATTTAGACTCATCTGTGGGGTTTTCCTGTTCTGCTGCATAACCTATAAGTCGTTAGGCTTAAAGTCACACCAGACTCTCCTTAAAAGAGAAAAATGAATGGTTCCATCAATTGCATTTAGGGGAACAGAATCCTAAAGAAGAAAAGCAGCTCCATTGTTAACCCCATTTTTTCCTTGACATGACATGTAGATATGTAAACCCTCAAAACTGTTAAATATTTTTCTGATAGGACTATTCTGGCAAGTGTCTGAAGATTCACCCAGATGTTTTGCTTTTATTTCATTCAACGGATTTTTTTTGTGAGCAATGTTTTAGGCTTCGAATCTCTCCCCATGTTTGCTATTGTTTTGTTGTTGAGTCGTGATTGGTTGAGAACTCCCATGAACCATTTTGGTTCGATAGCCACTCCAGGGGGGATTCAGCACTGTACCACATTTCCTCCATTTGTGGGTAATAGCTCTCGTTGTGTTTTAATTAAATAAATGGCGATCAGACCTGGGTGTGTCAAGTTTGAATTAGATCATTTATTTTTCCGGAAGTAACAGGAGTACTGGAAAAAATCATTTGAAAAATTTATTTCATATTGAATCTGGTAAACGTAGTCTTCTTTCAAAAGATGTAAGAAGTGTGACATATGTCCATAAACAAATTGTGACTGGACTAACAGATTTTCCCAAGCTAATGCTTGAAACTTGGGGATTAAAAATAAACAAAACAAACAATTTAATGCAATGTTTTAAATTGGACCCATTAGTGGATAGCAGTATTTGGACTACAATAACTGCAGTGATGGTTATTTTTAATTCATGAATACAATGAAGAGACAGACGGTGAGACAAAAGGGAAACAGGAGACAAACAGTAGAATAAGGACAGGATGAAATTGTTTGTAAAGATCCTTATCTGTAGGAGCGGCCTGTTTGTGTGGGCGGTGGAGACAATTACTCTCAAATTATGTTATTATGTTAGATCACATCAATCACATAAAAGGGACAGGTAAGAAAATCATTAAAAAATTATCCTTTATTTGCATGCAATATAAAAATATACATGTATTAGAACTAGATAGTACAGTAAACCTTTTATCAGGTTGGAAGAGGCTAAATATATATAGTATTTGAAATATAGGTAATAGTTAAAGTCTGAAATAAGGAAGACTTGACTTTAAAAGACAAAAACAGCAGTTGTATTTATTCTTTAAGCTTAGTCAGGTTATAAAGTAGGATTGTAAAGAGATGTAGATGAAAATGTCTTCCTACCCTGGATATTTCTTTGTTCTCTTCAATCAGATCTTAGCAGCCTGAGAGCAGCTCCAGTTCTTAGTAAACGTGTCTGTTTTGGTGGTCCACAATCTTTTCCAGCTTTGCCACACCCCCTTTATTTATTTACTTTATGCAGACTCTCCACTCCAAAGTTTCCAAGGAGTACGCCCATTTCCTCCATGGTGAACAGAGCTCCCTTATGCTCTGCCCTGGCGTCGGTCAGTGCATCACCATCCAAAAAAGTCTCAACTGAGACCCACCCATTAGCAGCGGAGGTACACCAAACCACATGAAAATATTTTCCGTCCGTAAACAGCCCTCTAGAAAGTGCCCTCCTATATAGTGAGCGTTTCATGATTCATCAACCATTCATTTGTATTTAATGTACAGCTGTGGTATTTAGCACATTTTAGAGTATTTGACCCTCCAGACTTACTAACAACTCATGGGACATTTGATCTCTTCTGGATTCAGACAGAAGATGAAAAGACGCCCCTCTGACTACATCCACAATAGTACTGCTTTGTGAGAGAAGATAAACACATTAAAAAATGCATATCAAATTCTCCCTTTCCTGAACTTCTTAATTATATACTCTTTTGGCCAAACCTCAAATACGTTTCCAGTACTTAAAAACAATCTGCAAAAAACATCTGCTGAAATTTGCAACATTTTAAACAAATTCTCAGTCACTAAATACATTTCACACTGTGATTTATTTGCATTGCAAAATTATAAACACAGCAAAATGTAAAACCAAGTACAAAACATCACTTAGAATTAAACACACTTGCATTTAATGATGTTCTGACCAACTGGGTGGGTCAAAAGCCAGGTCTGTAGCACAGGTGGCACATGTGTGGACAGCTACAATGGACAGAACCATACTGAGAGGCAGAGGAGTACATATGAGAGATGATTGACGAGAAAGGCAGAGAGCAATCATCACTAATGAAATCCAGGCAAATATTTAACATCTTATCCTTTTCTTGGGGCTAACAATTAGAGAAGCAGGACAAAAAGTCAAACCTAATCTAAGTAGATTATCCTTGACTAGCATTATGGCTGAAACAATTAATCAGATTAATCGTGATTAATTGATTATTTGAATAATTGTCAACTACTTTAATAATTGATTAATCATTAAATAGATTAGAGACACTAAAGTAGGCCTTCAGCTGACAGAGCAAACCACTTACAGCAGTAATTATATGAACATTGTCAAAAAAAATATCAACATTTTGCACTGAAGATACAAAAAACTTTTTTATCTATCGATATGTTCTATCCAGCACTCCACAAGTGGAAAAGTTTTAGTTCCACCTGGTTTAATTATGTAAAAAAAAAAAGTTTTCTTTAAGGAACATATGGCTATATGATTATTAATCGATTAATAGAAAAAATAATCGACAGATTAATCGATTTTCAAAATAATCATTAGTTGCAGCCCTAGTAAGGACCCTCAGAAAAAGAAAACTGTTAACTGACATATTGTTGGATATACTGTAATGTTAGTTACAATCCCATTTTTACTGCCTGTGTACAGCTGTAAGAAAATTTCCCACTTTGTAGAACCACAAGACAACTAATTGAGAGAGGAAAGACTGCCATTTACTTCCAATACAAAAAACTCTAATTGTTAAAATGGTTCTTTAAAATGCTCCCAGACTCCAAAAGGTCCAGCAAAGAGTAACTAAAGACAAGTACAACTCTGTCAACTAACTGATTGTTCTTCAACACAACAGACTTCATATAAAACAAAAACACAGATTACCCTTTGACTGCAACTCTGCAAGTGAAAAAGATCTAACACATCAGTAGATGCAAGTGAGTGCAATGTACACATACTTATTATTATTATTAATGATTTGCTCATAGGCCGACTGTTTCTGAAGGCTGGTATTTGCCAATGCTGTATTACAGTACCCTAAAACATTTTGTATTGTATGCAAGTCTATTTGAAGGTCTGCTTTCTTTACAGAGAATTTTTTAACTAGATTCCATAGAAAGGCCCCATTAATACCCCTTCATAGATAAGGCAGGAGGTGAAGTTTAAGGTGGTGAAAAGGAGGCAGAGAGGCAGGAACCTGTCATTGTGGAAGACTGACCAGCATGGTACTAATGTCACCCTTAGTGTAGCCATAATTAACAAGGGAGTTTTCGCCCGGGATGCATACTTGGGGCCTTATAAAATTAAACATCTTCTGGCTTTTTTGGTGGTCTACGTAATATAATGATTGCCATAGTTTGAGACAATGTCGGTATTCACCATGCTGCCCTTATATAGGAATGGTTCACCAACAGCTATTGATTCATCAAGGGAAGAGCACCTTCCTGAATCCAATGGGATGTCTTTTCTGCATGGCAGCTGACGATCTATGACTGACAGACCTATAATAGGGAAAACTTACTGCAGGCTATGGAACAGGCCTATGATTATATAAGTGTTCATTCTTGTAAAGCAGAGGTCACGGATTAGCGGACCGTGGTTCGGATCCGGACCAATCTACTGGCTAATCTGGACCCAACCTGATTTAAGACATTTATAAATTACTGCATGTTGTCCGACGGCAGTGTCTAATTTCACTTGCGCTGCTTCTCCTGTTTGTACGGTAAAGCCCTCCGAAGTGTTCAGTGCCAGGCTACACGTGATACAAGTTAGCCAATGAGCTGTGTCAATCAGGGCTGCTGCTATTAGCTACTTTCAGACACAGCAGGCAAACGTGTGGTAAGCCGGGCGATGGGAAAGATAGAGAACACGATGAGAAAAAGAGAGCAGAGAAAGTGTGGACTGCTTGAAGAACTGCTGTGAACTGGTGACAGAAAAGTGAAATGCTCAAAGATGACCCTGCACATTTTTAGTACGTTTAGCTCAACCTACTGCTGTGAAGCAGGATTCCCCACCATGAACATATTCAAAAATAAATGACTTATATGTGCTTTAGAATGGCTTTGTCTCCATACACACCCAGGTTTAAAGCCTTGAAGGGCAGCATAAAGCCCACTGCTCTCATTAACCCAGAAAAAAGAAAGAAGAAAAACAACAAACGGTCAGTTTAGGTGTTTTATAAAATATGTAAATTAGGAGATTGTCTATATACCAAACTGAACGATTTATTGTTCTCTACTTAAAAAAAAAAAACACTTTGGCAAACCAAAGGATTATTTCCCCATTGCTTGGCAAGAGGGGGAATGGGCCTGCAATGAGAATGATGTCCTCCGGCAAGACCATACACAATGACAAACTGTTAGTGAATGAATCTCAGCAAATTTTTTATTTTTCTTAAATTTGCAACAGCAATATTTTGCTAGCTCCATGCACTGATTGTTGTGTCTGGATTATATTCTGTGATGTCTAATGAACACTCTGAGGTGTTCTTTCTTACTTTCTGTATGAAATTAACACATTCTTTGGTTTGGACCTTGTATTTTTTGGATTTGTGTTTAAGGTCTTGAGAAAAATGTTGTGTTTCCAGAAATGTTTTAGCACTTTTAAAAACTTTTAACACCCAGCCAGGGAACTCCGAATTGCATTACAATATGTTGTTTAAGTTTATATTTAATCAAAAGACTTTTGGTCTGTAAAAGGTTTTTCCTTCTAAAAGTGATATTGGGACAAACAAGAAGAGATACAGGGACTGGCATTCTGCATACATATGTAAGTTTACAATAGCCTTTGCCCTAATGTAAACATTTAATAACAGAAATAATTAAACTGCAATTAAACAGGGTCTTTCTGCATGGGGTTGCATGTTCCTTCTATGCATGTATGGGTTCCTTCTGCGGGTTCTCTGGCTTCCTCCCACAGTGTAAAAACAGGACTATTAGGTTAACTAGCTTCTGTTGGCCTTAGGTGTGTCTATGTGTTGCCCTGTGTTGCCACCACTGATTGACTGGTGACCTGTCCATGGTGTACCCAGCCTCTTGCTGTTAGCTTATTGGAGATGCGGGTGAGCCTCTCATGAGCCAGATGGATCAGTGGCAGAAGATGGATTATTGGACACCATTATAAAATAAGTAGGAAACTATTCCTATGCAGTAATTTATTAATAGAAATGGTTGCCTTTGTTAATAAAAAATCTGTCTGCCTAACTTGGCATAAACCAGACGGACACCATGTAGAATTCAAATTGAACTACACATATCATTCAGGAAAGCCTCATGTAGAAAGTGCTCGCAAAAGGGAGGAATATTCAGTACAATTCTTTAAGCTGGTTGGGTCCCTGCTTCCCAATCAAAGCAGCAGTAGTAGCTTGATTTGTTTCATAATTAGCTAACTGATATATCAAACTCTTGCAAAATCCGGTCGGGGGCAACGCACAACCATGTTAACATCCACAAAGGCAAAAAATGTTCTCATTTTGCACATTATTCAAAAAAGAACTAGAGGGTATTACGGCTAAAACGGGTGCAGCCAAGTTTGCTTGCTTCAGCCTTCCGCTGCTGGTCACACATGTCACTGCATTTCATCGGTCTGAAATATTTCTGATTGAGGCTTGTGAATTCATACATATCGTGACAATTCATATTGTTTGTAATGTAAGCATCTCCCTGAACTATTTAATAGTAAGCTATTGACACGTGAAGAAATTGGTTTTATGACAAGCTAAGCAAGATTGGTCCATGTTAAAAGCTAAACTAAAATCTACAGAGAAATGTGTGTATAGGCCTTAGAATCCTCTATTTATTAAGTTAGATATTTTGGCCACAGCTTTCTTTGCCTTATGGCCATAGCTATAATCAAATTGTAACAAGGAGAGAAGCAATTTAAAAAAAGCTACCACAGATCTGAAAGGACAATGTGATTAGAGTCAGGCAAGGCTAAGAAAAAACAAAAAGTTCAAAGTTCAATGTATATTTTTAAATATATGTTTAGCTTTACCAGTGTAAGAAAAATATGAATATTACAATTTATCTGTTCCTCCAAATTTGTTCATATTATATTATTGTTTTAACACAATCAGTTTCAAAAGAATTGTAATAAACAAAAATCCTGTTTTTAGTTGGTGATAAGACAAGTAACAGTTTTTGTCATAGAGTTGATGCAGAGGGAAAGGACGATGACATTAATATGGGTGTGGAGGTGGACAAGGGGAAGGAAGGGGAGCAGAAGATGGAAGAGAAGGAGGAAATA